CCACCGAAATAAGAAAAGAAACCAGTCCCCACCGCGGGCCATTTAAAAGATAGTTCGCGCAGCGGATTGGTTGATACAAACATCCAATCGGAATATGTGGTCTTTCTTCCTCTTATTCTTTAAAAAGGCCAGAGTAGCTGTTAGCGTTTGATTGAGAGGGTGAATTAGGCATTGATCTCCCCTGATTGGGTCGATTTGGTGATGGGAAGTAGGATGTTGAAAAACCAGAAACTCCCTGATGAACCAAGTCACGGAACCCCCCGGGCACCTCCTTAAAAGCGTATTTTTGAATTACCCCGCAGACACTTAACTTTGGGTATGGCACAAGGTCATCAACGACAGAATATAAAACAAGCAATATTCTTTTTTAGAAAAGCAAGAATAAAGCATTTATATAACAAATATATACAACATAAGAATGAGAATGTTCTTTAGCGCAGATAGGGAGTTTGCTCGGTGTTTTTGTCAGTAAAAGGATTTTCAAAGAATTAATCAGTTCAGATTAAATAATATTTTACATCGTAAATTTCTGTCATAGTTTGATATCAAGGTAAGAGTTGTCTCCCGTTACCTGTTGAATATTGAATATATATTGTTTTTGTTAATGAAACAGATAAAGAGATGGAAGATTTAAATATTACGTGAAATAAGTTGACTCAACAAATGAATAAAGTCTCTTGAAGAAAGTAAGTTGTGTTCTTCCTGGAAAGTTTGTTGCAATCGAAATCGTTGAATTTTGTGTTTAAAAGATAAATTTTTAATCTTATAACTTTTTGAGTAAATTATGCATTAAATATTAAGAATCTTTTGCCTGTAAGATAGTTGACTCGAAGTAAGTTTGCGTTAGGTTATGTTCAAAGTTGCTTTTTGAATAAAATATTTGTTTGGCAAACTGTATGTTTTTAAGTAGAATTCTTATAGAAATCCGAGAAGCGTACTTTTTTTGGTGAGTGCGTGAATTCCAAGTTCGGGTTTATGTTAGGAAATCTAACTTAAAAACTTCAAGGATTTGAACGGCGTAATTTTGCTTGGTGAATTGTTTGATGCCGCATAGCTCACTGTTAGAAGTTAATAAGTTTCTGTGGCTTGTAGTTGAAGGAGTGAATAAGATGATTTAAAATATGTGCAATGTGCGTACATACGTGTATGTGCGTGTGTCATAACGTCTTCTGAGAAAAACAGAGGAAAGAGACAAAAAGTTGAAAATGTGTCCAAGTATTTAAAATTAATATGTGCCACGTGATAGGCTGAAACACATAAACAGATTTGGGCGGTAAATTAATTTTAACCGTGCGGACGTAGACGAAAAAAACATGATTATTGGCAATTAATTGACTTCCTTAGAAATATATATATATATATATATATATATATATATATATATATATATATATATATATATATATTACATTTCAAACCAGTCACAACATATTACATTGCATTTAAACACATGGTTCTGTTGATAATATGTCTTTCTCTCACGCGATCAATTACGACGTCATAGAATCGCATTACGAATTTACGAAATTTGCTATTCCGCGACCCGTTATAGCAAACTTCTATATAAATATATATATATATATATATATATATATATATATATATATATAGAGAGAGAGAGAGAGAGGATCAATATTATTTATAAATTCACACACATGTCCCAGATCAAACTAAATTAATAAATAATTCTATTGAGCATACCACTCCATACCTATCAAGAAAACTTATGGTACACCCCTCTGACCATAGCTCAATTAGGACTCATTTAAACACACACGAAAACCTATCAAAGTCCATCCACAACATGCATATAGAAAATGTTATGGTCCAGGTTAGGTAAGGACCCATGATAGATAGATAGATAGATAGATAGATAGATATGCACAAACTGAGATCGATAATGTTATGGTCCAGGTTAGGACCAAGGAAGAACAACACGAACACAAGAGTAGAAATAATGAAGGTATATTACACGAAATAATAATACAATATATGGAAGGTGTTAGTATGACTGTCAGTCTGGTTTGGAGTGAACTACTAACGGCTCGACTCGATTCGTCCCTCTCTCTTGAGAGGTGTAGTATACATAGTGTTAGGAAGAGTTCATTCTGTAGTTATAGGTAAGGACCCATGAGAGAAAATACAAGTAAAATAACGTCATCTCAAAGTTAAAAAAAAACATAAAAATAATGGATGCATTGATAATAGAAATGAAAAAGCCAACACTCAATACCATCAATTGTGAATAGGGCCACAATGCATTGACAGTGTTTGAAAAATGGAAAAAAAAAACTTCCCATCACTCTAGAAACATAAAAATACACACATTCAGTTAAAATATAAATAAAAAATATCATTGATAATACATAACAGACGAAAACACTCGGATATATAAAACATTTGGACAATTTTCAAACACTTTTTGTCCAGAAAAGAAAACATTTATACGACCACAAGAAAAATGAAATAAATAATAAGAAATGATATATATAATATATATATATATATATATATATATATATATATATATGGTTGGATAGATGTGAGTTTGTTAGCTCTATCTCTGATATTGAGCGCTTTCTAATAAGTACCGCGCATATAATAGATAAATAATTATACATATATATATTTATTTATATTTATATACACTTTTCACACAACACACACACACACACATATATATATATATATATATATATATATATATATATATATATATATATATATACATATATATATATATATATATATATATATATATATATATATATATACTGTATTTGGACAACAATCTCTCTTTTATACAAGTTTCGTTAAAATGACTGACAATGGTTAATTTTTCATGTGTTCTTATAATTTTTCTTTTCAGGGCATAAATTTTTATATAATTCATGTCCTGAAAAGAAAAAAAAAAAGATCTTAGTTGATGGGAAAACAGGCTCTCGTGCCTTAACTTTTGTCCGAACCACGTCATTTTTTTCTCTGTTGGACAGTATCGAAAGATACATGATGTCCTAAGCGTGTATCACGCATGGCACATAACTGACTGACAGACACAACCAATCAGAGGTAGTTAATAGTTAAAGGGAAATAACTCCTCATTTAATTTACAAAGTTATTTTCCTTAAGGATATTTAATTTTACAATCTGTCAAAAATATTTTGCGGTATTCACTTTTACGTCGTGTAAAATTTCAGCAAGAAATTAAACTAAATCTGTCTACGGTAGATATATCTTTTCTTTCATCATTTTTGTCTTTCATTTTCCACTCAATTCCGTAAAATATGTCCGTTTAAAATAAATAGCTATAATGAAATGTTGTGCGTTGTGATGCAAATGGATAACGGCTCGAAATGAGAAATGGGAGTGCTGAGTTCGAATTTAAATTCGGTTTCGTTACATTCACTTTAGCACAAATACCCATGAGAAAGCTATGAAATCTCTTATCCTCAAGCTACGAATTAAATAGCAGGACAGAGAGGGTTCTTTAGCCTTGGATGGCAAACAGTCTACCGTAGAAAGAAATGGCAAGCTAATGCGGGAAAATCTTCGGCCTAGGCAGTCATTAATCGAAAGATACATGATCTCCCAAGTGTGTATCGCATATGCCACTTAACTGATTGGCTAGAGGCTCTAATCAATGCTGAATTGGTTATGTCACTTCACACGAACTCCTTTGTTGCGGAGGTGGAAATGGATAACTTGAAAAACCTTTTTGTTGTTGTTAAGGTTAATTCCTTCTCCGTCTCGGCAAACTTATATCCAAGCCTCAAACAAAGGAGGGCATTGAGCATGGGTATAATTTATTTACATATATAAAAAATTTTTTAAAAAATAAAAAATAAAAAAAAACTGGTATCTTCTATCTGTTGCTGTTGCAACAAAGAAAAAGAATGGTGAAAGTAGAAATTGGACCTTTCACTTATCAACTTAAGTCTTTGGCAATTTCAACCATAGAAAGATTAACAATCAAACTACGTGTTATTTGTTTCAAATCAGATTAACTTAATTTTAAATTCGCTAATTTTTTTGAAATAACATTTCAGAAATATATATTTTATTTTTGCAAGATTTTTAAAACCGAGAATTGATTTTTTTTTTTTTTTTACGAATGGCTGATTTTATCAATTTTAATGAAAAAAAATCGATTTCGATCAATATAATTTCTGTTTGAAAATAAATAAAAGTATCTTGCTTAAAACTGAAATATTAATTTTAAATTTTTTCAATCAAATCAATTAAAAAAAAAATGAATTAAAAAATTTTTTTTTCATCTTTTTAAAAATCATAACTTTACCGGATTAGTGGAGGTATCTATTTTTATAAACTTGTAAATAAACATTGACGAAGGAGTGAAGGTAGTACAAACTAATGTCAAGAAAAAAATCGTCCTTTTGACACACCGTTTTAACCCGGATATAAGAGAGTTGTCGGGACCGGAGAAGAAGTCTCTTATATCCGGGTTTCTTTTATATCCGGGTTTGGTCTATTTTGTTTAGGTAACACAGGCTTTAATTTGGGACCAGAGAAAATCTCTCTTATATCCGGGTTTCTCTTATATCCGGGTCTCTTATATCCGGGTTACACTGTATTTTTATTTTTGTTTTTTTGTGGACACGAATGTTAAAGTTTGCCAAATTTTCAGTTATGAACAAACTGAGAAATGTTTATTAAAGTATAGTAGGTTTCTTTAATGTGTAATTATTTTTATTAAGAAGTTGCGATTGATACGCAACCTTAGAAAAGACCTAAATTTAAACTTTTGATTAAAAAAAATTAATATTCTTCCATTTTTTTTAAACAGATTTCATTTCACTCACCAGGATGCACACAAGTGTGAAAGCGCGCGATTCAGTTGCCATGGAAGTCCTTTTCTTTGTGAACATTTTTTGGTACAACACCGTTAACTGCTGCTGCTACTTGTTGAGTGCAGGCGTGGAAATGGCGCCCAGCATGTTTACATGGTTACTGTTAGGCTTTTTTTTCTTCGCTCTTTTTAGTGTCGAAACTTCAGCGCAGATTTCAAACCTAAGCACAAGCAATGGCACATTTTCAACAACTCCGGCTATCGTCACCACCGCTTCTGAAGTGGTCACTTCGACTCCAGTACCGCCGAAGCCGTTACCAAAGAACACAGGTAAAAAAACGAATATAGCAACCATTGTTTATGTATTGAAATTTAAGGGGCATATATGGTTTTCTCAAAATTTATGACATTATTTATTTGATCTTTTCTTTTATTTGATATAACTATAAATTATTAGTAATAATTTATTATAAATATGATTTTGGGAAATTAATTTTTGCAACTTGCAATATAACGGAATACAAACAGGTAGCCACAAAAAAAGTAGTGTTGCTAACATGGGTTTAAAATTTTAAACGAATTTTTTTTAATTTTTTTTTAAACTTTAAAAAAAATAAAAAAAGATTCGTAATTCTATTTTTTATTTGATCTTTTTAAAAAAGAATACGTAGTTAAATTTATTATCCAAGTGTTTCACATCTTGCAGTTCAAAACAACAATTCTCAAATTTCTTTAATCTTTAAAAAATCATTCTGATGATGTTCAGTTTTAAGTTTTGAAAGGCGGACTGGAACAAAAGAATTATTGAGCCAATTTTCAATATGAGGATGTAGACTTGTTGATATCTGTTTGAAGAAAAGAATACTGAACTAGTGAACTGTTACGTGACATCTGTCCTTCTTTACGGCAGCGAATGTTGGACGATCTCCTCAAAGATGAAGAAGAGACTCGAGGCGACAGAAGGATGCTAAGGATATCATAGACCGAGCGTGTGAGCAACGATGAGGTCTTAGAGAGGATGCAAACAAGGAGGAGGCTTATACTTATTATCAGGAAGAGGCAGCTGAAGTTTCTGGGACATATAATGAGGAAGGAAGGCCTGGAGAATCTGATACTCACAGGTTGAATAGAGGGAAAAGAGAGAAAATAAAAAAAGAAAATGTGACATACCTACATGGCTTAAACAAGTGGATGAGAGAATGTGGTTTGGGGGAGGAAGCAGATCAAAGGAACTTGTTGAAAGCTTTAAAGGAATAGAGGGGGAGGTGGAGAAAATGATCACCTACATCCCAAAACGACATGGCACATAAAAAAAAGAAAAAAGAAAAAAATAAATAGATTTTAATTTTTTTAGATCAATGATATGTAACTATGTGGGCAAATTTTGTTTTTGAATCCCTTGGAATGGAACCAAATATGTCAGTCAGAATTAATGGTTTTTATCCCCAGACTGTTCACTGTTTACTTACTGTATATGATGCATTTCTGTTAGTTAAAACATTTAAACAACAAATAACGATTTATAATCTTAAGTTGGGAGAGTATAAGAATTTATGTTAAATTTTCAGATAATGCCTGATTTAAAAAAAAAAAAAGTATTATTCCTCGTATAAAAAAAGCCTGATTATTCTAAAATAGTATTAAAAATTGAGGAAAATCTACCATTTAGAAGATATTGATAATCTTAGTTGAGTCTCAGGATTTTCATTTTTCCAGGTGTAAAAAAAAGCTTGACTATTACAAAAGTAGCAATAAAAACTTTGGAACAGCTACCTTTTAGGAGGGTAATTGTTAAATTATTATACTACAAAGAATTATAAGGCACAATCCACAGCTTGTGAGGCAACAAATTCCAACACCCTGAAGACTAAGAAAAAGTAAGTTTGTAATTCTCCCTTCTTTACAGCACTGGTGACCTGTCTTGTAATGGTAATTTGAATATTGCCACACTATTCAGCACCCGACTCATATTTTTATATGCAGATTTTAATATTTGGAGACTACTTAAATAAACTGGTCCACTTTTTAAAATAGGTACTTCCACTAATTTTCTGAAAAAAAATACCATGATGGAAAAAGGCCCCAAACGTAATAAAAACAAATTTTTATCATCAAAATATTTATGTAATTATTAATTAGATCAAAGTATTTTTTGATTATTATGTTTAATTTTTTTAATCCTTTCTAGCATGTTCGAAATTTTGGTTAAAAAATCTTGTTTTTCTTGCATCAGCATGTTCAAAAATTTAATATAGGAAATTTTAGCATCTTCTTTTACAGTAAAAAGCACATTGATTTCAATATTCTTGCAAATGTTAAATAATTGTTGGATTTTAATGAAATTTTCAGAAATTATTCACAAATTTTTAAATTATTTTTTTAAAAAATTTTATAAAAAAATTTTTTTTTTAAAATTTTACTTATTTAATTTTAACAAATTTTTAAAAAAAAAAATTTTTCATTTAATGTTTTAAATTAGAAGAAGAATTGGAGAATTTAAATCATTTTTTTTTTTTTTAAAACAGAAACGCCATTTACAAAAAAATGCTCTGAAACATAAAATAAAAAGCAAATGCAAAACTAAGACATTATTTAATTAAAAAAAATTTTTTTAATTGTTTTTTATAAATAAGATATATTAATGGACACTATTGTCTTAAAAAAATTTTCAATGAATAATGAATTTTTTACAAGAATTGTTTTTTTTTTTAAAAATTTTAATTAGAATAATTTATTAAATTTTTAAATTTTTTAAAATTCTATATTAATTTCACCCTTTTAGTTGATATTATTATTAAGTAAAAACTATATTTACTAATCATAAATGGAAAAAAAAAAGTACAAATCATCAAACAAAAATATTTTAAAAAAATTTTAATTTTTTTTTTTGTGTGTAAAACGTGTCAATTTTTGTAAATATGTGACATCCATACACAATATTATCAGAAAATAAGAGCAATAATTATAGTAAATTTAAATCCTAAATATCTAATATTCAATAAAATATTAGATTACAGAGAATATTTTCCTACATCTTAAAGATTACTGAGTACTTAAAAATTATATATAAAAGGCACTCATATTATATTCAGTTATTTTTTACTGATAAAAAAAAATAAAAAACATCAATCTGTCATCTCATCAACAAATCATTAAAAAAAAAAAGCTAAAAAATGTTAAAAAAAAATGCATTTTTGTGATATTTTAAACTTAATGTAAATAATATTTGTTTTAAATCAGATTAATTATATTTTAAATCAGCTAATATTTCACAAATAACCTTTCAAAAAGTATAATTTATTTTTTTTGGAAGATTTTTTAATAAAGAGAATTACATTTTGATGAAAAATATAAAACTAAAAATTTGCTAATTTAAATTTTTTAACAAAAAATAAACTCCTTCCAGTCAATTTAAATTAGTTTTTGAAATACAGCAAAGTATTTCGCTTATTGGAAATATTAAATTTAATCTATTAGCTTGAAATTAAAACTAAAATAAAAGCTTCAAGAAAGATTTTTCATTTTTAAAATTCATTTTAAATCAATCTGCAGATTTTTTACCTATTTTTAAAAAAGGAAATATTTTTTGGGAATCAATTTTTAGATTTTTTTCCTCAAGTCATTAAAAAAACAAAAAAAAAATTTTTTTTTTTTTTTATGAAATTAAATGAAGGATCTTGTTCATAATATAAATACAGTCACAAATCAACACCTGAATTTTAATAGAGTTATCTGGAGTTTATTATTGATAAATGTCAAATTTGAAACTGCTTTTTCTTCTCCCCAGACGAGGCTATGCTGAAGGAAAAGTCTCCTGAAAGACAGCTACTTGACTCATTTTTTTTATAGGGTCTTATTTCATTTTTTTTTTTGAATTTTGTGGGCTTGAATAGAAAACTAAAAAATTGTTTTTCTGCAGCATCAAACTGACTTATTTCGGTTAGTACTTTAAATATCATCCATTTACACAAACTCACTTGGTAGGTTATGCTTTTTTTCCTGCCTTCAATCTGTCTTGTAAGTATCAAATTTTCCAAACCCTCTTTCCTCATGTGCCCTAGAAATTTCAACTTTCTCTCTTCTTGATGTTAAGTATAAGTGTCCTTTTTGTTTCCATTTTCTTTCTATCATTGGTATCTGCATTTTTTTTTTTTTAATAATAAATTTTTTTATTTTTTTTGTAACTTTTTTTTGGTATTTGTTTTTTTCAAAGCAATAAGCAAACATTAGGGTTAACAATTATTTATCTTAAATGAAGAATAAACAGATATATTTTTTTCTTTAATTATAAATGTAAATATAGATTTGTTCTTTTTGGAAAAAAAATGTCTGTTTTCATACACAGAACAGCTAAGTCCTGATAATACTGTAAAATGTCAATATTATAAACTGGTCTTCATTTCTAAAATGATAAAAATCGATATTTTTTTATTCTGACAATTATCATGCATTGAGGAAAGTCTAGTGTATGTACAACTTTCCCCCAAAATTTTACCCTATTTTTTACTTGTGGACCAGCCTACTTAAGTAGTGCCTAAATTTGTTTTTTGTATCACCAATGAAAAACATTATTTACATGGGCAGTGGAATGAGAACAATCTCCCCACATAGATTATGTGAAGGGTTCAATTTAAAATTCCCCGTAGGTTACCTGGAGTGGCAGACACCTGATGAAGGCAAAAGAACACAATGGCCAAAATGTTGCATTAATAGCAACAAAGATGAGGACAATAGTTTCATATAAATCATGTATATAATGATAACTTTTCATGCCAGAAATTCAAACAGAAATTAGTGAAAGACATAACTTTTTTTTTTTTATTTTTCAGATATTGGTCCTTGTCTTTGTGACTTGACAATTAACAGCTGTGATGTGAATTGTTGCTGTGACAGGGAATGCTCATCTGAAGACCGTACTTCATTCTCTGAATGTATCACCTTTAATTCAGTGTGAGAATTGCTTAAATAATCAAGAATGCTATTCTGAGTATAATTAAAAAAGATATATTTGTGTGTGTATATCACTGACAATTCTAGGTCATCAATGTTTGTTGCCAGGCATTAATGTATTATATATATATATATATATATATACATATATATATATATTAATCATTCCACCCCAAGCAAGGCAACAAAACCACTAAAATTTGGGGGGGGTTACTGTTTGTGAAATGAATACTAAAAAAAAAAACATCTTCAAACCTACAAATCAACAATTTTTTTGCAAAGAGTATTGCTGCCATTTTGGTCTGGAGCCCATTTGATTTTGCCCTGGGGTTCTTGATAGGCTCCAGAGGCGGATATGCAAATGGCCCTGATCTGGCATCTCATCTACAAAACTTTTCTCACATTTTTTAAATATATCTCTCTGTTTTTTACAAATACTTTCATGGCAATTGCTCAATAGGAGCTGCATTCGCTGGTTCCCAGACTTCATGAGTTCATAGAATATTTAAAAGGCTGGCATCCCCAAAAATTTTCACTGTCAGAAACTCCCAAATGTAGCCGTCTCTTCTACTCCAATAGCTTCATGTCTCGCACCTCTTGCCTGTGGAACTCTCTTCCCTATTCCAGTTTCCCTGAGAGCTATAATCTCCAGCTATTCAAATGTAATGTCAATCGACATCTCCAGTTGCCTTGATCTATCCACTACCCTTCTCCTCATCCTTTCTTCTATCACTCCTATCTGATCTTGCTCCAAATTTTCTGTAACCCCTTGCATCCTAGTGGCTTCCCACCTTGCTTGGGGTGAAATGCTTAAAAAAATAAAAAATAAAAAATAAAAATAAAAGAACAGGAATCAAGAAGATAACTTTAACAAAATATACTCTTGGTATAACTTAGATGCTAAAATGATTCCTCTTTACTCTAACTAAAATATATAATTTTGAAAAATCTCTGTGCATGAAATAAAAAAAACATGTTTTGGTATTTTAACATTAATTGTAATAATTCTATAAAAATAAACATTTATTTAAAAAAAAAAATTCAGACATGCAAACAAAAAAAAAAGAAATTGAAGAAACAAAATCTTTGATATGTTTCTCAAACAAACATTCAAGTTTGATTTTTTTAAATTTTTATGGCCTTATTTATCAAGTCACTGATGTTGGAGTGCGTGTTTGTATATATGTCTATGCTTTAGTGTGTTTATGTATCTCATTGTGAATTTTTAGTTTAATTTATTTTACGTTTATGATCAGTACTGCTGACTGATATCATATTTCCTCAGCACTAACCCAGTCACACAATATGCTATTGAATTAACTTAGATGTTAAAGTGATTCCTAACTAAAATATATCATTTTTAAAAATCTCCGTGCATGAAATTAAAAAAAAATACATTTTGGTATTTTAATATTAATTGTAATAATTCTATAAAAGTAAGCATTTATTTTTAAACATTTTTCTCGACATATAAGAAAAAATAGAATTGCTGCATATTAATATAATAATTGGAAAAATCTATTTAAAACAAAGTATAAAAATCTAATAATAGTACAGACTTAAAATATGCTCTCAATTTTATGGCATGGGATGTGATTGATTTGCTTTTTATGGCTTATCAAGCTTTTGCAGATTATTGAAAGCCAGAAAAAATTTTTAGATTGTAAGAATTTTTTGGGGATGATATTGATTTTTACTAATATAAGTTCTATTAATTAACCCATAGTTGGAGGGAGAAGAGGTGGATTCATACCTTTCCCTTTGCACATCAGTGAATATAAAAAAAAAATCGAATTGAAACTCAGCACTCTGATTTCTAATTCCGTGTCATTATCCATTATACCACTCACACATGATAACTCCTAATCCCAGAACGATAACGACAAGACAATAATAATAACTCTTAATCCCAGAACGATAACAACAGGACAATGATAATAACTCCTCATCCCAGAACAATAACGATAGGGCAATAATAACTCCTTATCCCAGAATAATAATGATAGAACAATAACAATAACTCCTCAACCCAGAAATTCAGACAAAAATTAAGTGTTAATCAAGAATCAAGAATCCCTTTTTTTAAAAAATCTTTTTTTTAACGGAGGTGAGAGTGAAAAAATAGTCTGACTTATTTTGCAATACAAATGATTGAACATGATGTGTGCTTTCTTTTTCAAGTATTGATGACCGCCTGTGTTTCCAAGAAGACATCTTCTATGCAGTAAATTCCAAACTATATTCAAACAGATCTTCAAATGGAATCTTTTGCATCTATTATGATAACTGTGAGTTTCTGAAATTCTTTTACTCTTTTATGCCATCTTACCAAATAAAAATATCATTTCATTTATTTTCTCTTCCAAGATTTGAAACATGCTTGAAGAATTAATGGATTTACTTTTAATCCAACATTTTTAATACTTCAACCATTATTATTCTCTACAGTTTAGATTTGAAATAGGCACCTTATTTTTATTTATCAAACAGTGTGTATTACATGTATTGCCTTGTGTATTCAATTAATACCAGTAAAGAAAAAGTGACTAAAACTATGGATTACTGTATTGCATACACATATATATATATATATATATATATATATATATATATATATATTAATCATTATACCCCAAGCAAGGCAACAAAACCACTAAGATACACGGGGTAACTGAGTGTGAAAGAATATATGAAAAAGAAAAACATTATTAAGGAAAAAAAACAATAAAAGAACAGGAATCAAGAAGATAACGATTGACAATGCATTTAAAGTTTTGAAGATCAAAGTTGACTGGAAAGTAAGAAGAGTAAAAGAGAATTAGAAGACTTTACTGAGGGGAAAGGACAATAAAAGAACAGAAATTAAGAAGACAGAAGATAATGATTGACAATGCATTTAAAGTTTTGAAGATCAAAGTTGACTGAGCAGCAAGAAGCCAGAAGAAACTTCCACAAGCAAGTTGTGTGAGAAAAGAAACTGTTAGCATACAACTTAGTTACATCCAGCCATTTCAACAGTAAAATGATGAGTCATTGCTTACAATCTAGTACTACGCTTAAATTCATAAAGTCTAGGTACCATAGATATGGCAGCAGTTAAAATTACTTTTCTTAATCATTTCACTCCAAGAAAGGCAATAAAGCCGCTAAGATGCGAGTAGTTACTGAGTGTGAGTGAATATGAGAAAAAGAAAATATTATTAAGAAGAAGAGAAATAAGAAGAAAGGACAATAAAAGAACAGGAATTAAGACAGAAGATAACAATTGCGATTGAATTTAAATTTTTGAAGATCAAAATTGACTGGAACACAAGAAGCCGGAAGAAATTTCTACAAGCAAGTAGTGTGAGAAAATGGTATTTAGGGTCCAAAACTTTTATCCGTGTTTTAGATGGTCCACGGTTTGGATCAAAAGTGAGCCACGATGTCAGGATTGACGGCTTAGACCAGCAAAACAAAGCTTGTCAGTCCATAGAGTTATCCAGGAAAATGGGTAACACAATGGTTAAGGAAGCAAAATGTGTATTCAATACTAAGAGTTGAATATTGGCAGTTTTGAAAAACATTTATTAAAACTATCGTTTAATTTCACATAAAAATCTGCACCAATGTGAATAAATTTGAAAAATGATGATCTAAAATGATTTCAGTTATAAAGTGCCATGTTAATAGATCCATTATTGATGACAGAAAAGATGGCAGAAATCTTGTACACACAAGATTTTAACATTTTAACAAGAAAAAAATAAAATTATTTTTTTATAGATTTTGAATAAAAACATTACAATACATTGTAATGTATTAATAAAAATAATACACCCATCTCTTTAGAGATATTTCTGCAAGCTGTGCCATTCTGTATATTTTCAACAATGTTTAGCTTTTGTTGAACATAGTATGAGGCATGGCTTAATATCTATGTGAAAAAATGTGATCGTTATGATATCTAAAGAGACACTGTGTAAAACTAATTTTTGCCTGTATTTATAGAAAATTTTAATGAGAGAGAATTTATGGACTTTTTGAAAGTGTTGAAAGGTGTTATATGGCTGCAATGGTGGCCTCCATTAATAATCCTTAAAGCAGGATTTAAAATGGCTCTTAACTGCAGATTGTATAAATTATTTGGAAAAGCACATTATTGATATTAAAGCAAATCCCGTTGAATAAATATGTGAAATTTTAAAGTTAGGATAAAGGTGCATATTTCACACTCAAAATGTCCGCAAAGTGCTAATATCAATCACGAGTGTGAAATGTCAAAGCCTAAACAATAGTAAATGCCTAGGAAAATATGGATATGCTTGAAGGTATTAAAACTCAATTTAATGAATTTATTAAAATAAAAGATTATACAGAAAAAATCAGACTTTAAAGAGTGTCACAATCAAGTTTGAATTTGTTTCAAATTGGGATCCACTGATGATTATGATTCTAATATGAACATTACAAATAATTTTGGGGTCCATTGCACATGCGCAGCTGAAGTGACATTGTGGCTTATCTCCATACACATACACACACATAAAAATAAAAAAATATTCATAAGTTTTTTAAACTGACTATAATGTAACATGTTTCATGTGTATATACAAAAAAATTTGCAACTATCAATGACATTAATTTTTGTCTTAGCAATTCAACCTTGAAGATGATCTTGGATCAGATTGAAAGCTCCTGAGAAAATAAAAACATCCAAAACTACAGCAACTTTCTTAATCAGATTTGTAACAACACTAAGAAATTGGTCTGTGAAATTAAGAGGATTAAAATAAAAATAGACTTATCTCTAGATTATTCAACCAAACATGCTTGAATGAAGATATACTGCCTAAATACATTCTCTCTTTCTATATATATATATATATATATATATATATATATATATATATATAATATATACACAGATATACACATAAAAAAATATTCATAGATTTTTTTTTTCTTTTAACCAACCCCATTTTACTGCTCCACTATAACTATAGTTTAGTATATATATATATCAAAGTTTAAATTATGTAACTGTCAGTTTTTAATCAGGACCTGGAGATTACGTTGTGCATAAAACTCAGAGTTGTGCTGCTGGTGAGAAAAATGTATATTTTGTGTATGTGTATGTATATATATATATATATATATATAGATAAGAATATAAGGTCCACATTTCACTTTTGTTAAAGTTAACACCAAAATAAGCATTTCATTTTTTGTTTTTACAAAATATAATTATTAAATTTTCTTTTGAAAATGTTAACATTTAATCTAAATTTCAAAAGGGTTTGAATCTTATTAACACCAGTTATAATGTTTTTTTATTCTTTTTTTCAGATCCTTCCAGAAATTTCTATAAAAATCCTGATTTGGTTACCAATATGAATATGTTTGAAGAATATGCTCGTAAAAATTCAGTACCATCATTTCAACGCCGTCCTCAAACACCGAAAATATTTGCAGAATTTTACAAGGTCCAGTTTTTAGTTTTTATTTAATTAATTCACCCCAAGCAAGGCAATAAATCCACTAAGATGCAAGGAGCTACTGGGAGTGAAAGAGAATGAAAAAGACTTTAGAAGGCACCAGACTCCCAATCCTAAACAGAAAACAAGGGACTGGGGAGGAATATAAACTGGTCACTAGATGGCAGCAGTGTTCCATTTTTTGTTCTGAACTGACTTTTGTAATCCTGTTAGGATCCCAACAATGGGCAAATAGTGAACCTCCAAACTGAGGTCAAAACATAAAAATGGAAATACATTAGAAAAAATTACCAGTAATATTTTTTCATAGTAAAAAAAAATTACCAGCAATATTTTTTTTTTAAATACTAAAGCTCACAAGAAAAATAAATTTTCAGCATTAAATGATATATAAAGGAGTTGATAGGCCATTAAACAAACAAAACCAAACCAAACTTATTTAGAAATGAGTTTAAATATAATAATGTTATGCAATGACATAAATATTATTGTTAATAATTAATGGAATAATGACAATACAAGGAAAGAACAAAGATGTCAGTGAAATGTTGGAATCAAAACAAGGATAAGGATCTAAATAATAATAAACAAGCTGAATAAAAAGATGGGTTCATAATCTGAAGTTCCATATGCAATTTCACTGTCAGATTAAAAGCAGTTAAAGAAAGATAACCAGTGCTTTGCTTTATTGTGTAAATTTTAAGAAAAAATATTTTAGCTGGGATGCATTTTGAAAATATAGGATCAAAATTATTTTTACAATCTTGCTAAAATAAAAACATTAGAAAATTTACATGACGTAGTAAATGTGTATACATGTGTGTGTATATATGTGTGTGTGTGTGTATATATATATATATATATATATATATATTTAAGTTATGAAAAACTTGGTAATCCGTATGGGTAGTCCCAAGGAGGATGAAATCCTGAGAGCACAATGTAAATCCAGAGCTAATAATTTAAAGAAAAACAGACCACTTTAAGGTTCCATTATAATAATTTATTTCACCAGACCCCTTTTAAGGGACGCTGGATCATCAGATAACACTTTCAAAAAATGAAATGAAACATTATATATATATATATATATATATATATAATATATATAATGTGTGTGTATGTATGTACATTTGTGTATGTGTATAGGAAGTCAGATTTGGTTGGTTGGTTGGTTGGTTGGTTTTGTTTGTGCAATAAACGATCACGAAAAGTTCTCCCATAATGAGTGATCAGAGGGCAAAGGGCCCTGCACACATTGTAAATGATACAGATACAGGAGCTGCACTTGAAGTACACTCCATGCAATATTATGTGATATAGAATATGCTAGAGCTATTTTACATGTGCTGTTACCTGGATCATCTCCGACAGCCTGTAGAATGTGTTCTTCATGGTCAGACATACGAGTGGATCTCAGTCTTCCTTGATCCATAGTTTGTGGTGCCACGGATCCTGCCTCAGGAACACAAAGGTAAACAGCAGCAAAGGTTGAATGACCCGGCTGCCTTCTGTCTGGAAATGCAGCCATTACCATTTGTTCGGCTGTATGTAAAAATCCTATCAGCTTGCTCATGATATGAATATCCTCCCATTAACTCATTACTACACACCTTAAACGTTGAAGACAGACTAGCCACAAATGTACACAAATGCGACACAGTGCCATCTACCATAAACTTTTTTAAACTTAGTAAACCATAATGAAGGATTTACAGACATATGCTTATATTGACTTTTGTCCTTGTTTTGGTGTGAGGAACCTACCCCCAAAGTTTATAAAAGTATACACCCTGTATATAACTGTCTTCCTCTATTTATTTATATTTATTTTTAATTATTATATTCTTTACATTTACTGGTATTATTTTATCTTATAATTCTTCATAACATATTCTAAAGATATTTTGACAAGATACACCACAATATACAAAAAGGAAGGTGAAATGCAAAAATGAATTTTAATTTAAGTAGCTTTATTTATGGTATACAGTAAGAATCAAAAAATTAGAAATCAACATAATTGAGGCACATTATAAAAGCATGCCCCATATATAATACTAGCAGTAGAGCCCGGCGTTGCCCGGTGATGTAACAGTAAGAGATTGATCAAGTATCGACCATCATAAAGGCTGAAAAATAAAATTGACAAAGATTATTTGTTTAAGGTTGACGGACACGCATGTCTTAATTAGTTTTTTTTTTGTTTTTTTACAAATTGGTCTAAAACAAAAACATTGTTTTCAATCGTTATGAGTCTACCAATTGAATAGAATTTTATTATAAACAATTGTCTTGTAAATGGAATTTTTAAAGCATTCTGAATGTAAAAATAAAGAAAAAAGTGTGCAAGACAATAAGAAACACTACCTACCAAAAACAAAGTGAAGTTTTGTTGAAATCAGTTGAAAAATGTAGGAAATCCGATCCCATATATAAACGAACACACACACACACACACACAGAAACAACCTGGGTTTTAACCCGAAGTGAGTTGTCCCCCTTTCATTAATGCCTCTTAATCATGTTTTCAAATTGATTTCGTGCAAAAACAATTGTGTTTTTCTAATTTTTGGCGCTGTTAGAACCACCGCAAGGTAATTTTATGTCGTCCTGTGAAGTTTTGTTGAAATCGGTTGAAAAATGTAGAAAATCCGATCCAATCCAAAACGTTACAGACACACACACACACACACAATCTGCGTTTTATAATAAGTAAGATATATTATATATGTCCCATATATTATTCGTATATAAGTTGTATACAAAGTATTATGGTTCATGCTCAGAAGCTGGGGTCGCATTTTATACAAGCTATAAAATAAAATAAGGTTTTCATTAAAAAATTTAAAGGTCGCACTATACATGAAGTTGGTTTATACACATGTATATATGCTAGTTATGCATGTGCAGTTATGTTCCTTCCCCCCAGTATAGTTGCCAAGTTATATCAAGACCGTGCAAATGGTTTTTAAATTTATAGCTGAATACATTCTGAACAGGTCACATAAATAAAGGTTTCTGTTTTTATAAATTTTACAGGCTTCTTTTGTTTCTTTTTTTTTTTTTTTTTTTTTTTTTTTTTTTAAAGTCTTAAGCATTTGAAGAACTTGTATAAGAAAATATTTTTACCGTTCCTTTTGCAGAGTGGTGATCCGATTCAGATTATATATGGAAATGACACTCTGGGCTACCTACTTCTTCCAAGGGCACTTTCTTCTGAATATTGTACTGACTTCAACCCAGCAAGTAAGTGACATGACTTTATGATAGTGTAGCAGAGTGTTTTTAGAATTGGAAAATATTATTTTAATATTCTATAGTTTTAACCAAAACGTAACCCTTAGATATAGTGTTGTTACAATACTTTATAACATAAACCCTCCCCTGTTTATATTTAATACCAGATTTTTTTAGAAAACTTATTGTCATGTACATAAGAAATAAGTAAATAAAAATTAATTATAGTGTCAGAAAAATAATTATAACAATTATAATTATCATTAATTCACTCATTCTAAACCAATGAGAATCAACCCTACTTTTCTCCTCTACGCACTCAAGCATGTGACATTCTCACTATCAGACAAGCAGTTAACACAGACAGGTCATTAACATGTGCATCAATGAAAATTTTGTTTCCTTTTTCAAGTCATAATAGTAACATTTATCTTTTAGCACTTAATCAAAAATTTGAGGTAAAAAAAAAAAAACAGTACTTCTTGTATTTTCCAACTAATTTATCTGAACTCACATTAAAAACATAATAGAAAACCTTTATACACTTTGTGTTGTAACCTAGGGAAGGTTACTGAATAGAATAATCAAATGAAGGTTGGTAATGAACAATAATACTTAGGACAAGAACAGCACATATAAGATTTGCCAACAGCGCATAGAAGTAGTCAACTGCTAGAAGTGAGTCAAGTGAATTCCACAATAAATCTCCAACATACAGTATTTAGTATTTAGTATAGGGACATACCCATCATCGTCTGTATGTATGCTACAACATTTTGCTTATTTTTTAGTTTATTATTCTGTCAGATTGTGACCCATATTTGATCTACATTTGACCCCAAACTCACAATTTTACTCCGTATTACTGTCGTTCATTTCTTCAACTACATATAACAAACAGATAATAAATAATAGTCGTTTTGTTGTTTCCATACCGTGCTGTTTCTCATTTTTACAAATAATTTCGTTAGGGAGTTTGTAATTATTTACTCAGAGAAACTTCCCTACACTATAATTAATACTGGATTTTTTTTTTTAGAAACTTATAATTATTGTCTTACTTTTACTAATAAGAACAAGGGTCGCACAACTCCACCTTTTAAAATCATGGGGTTCTCACATGGCTAATTGAACATGAGTCTCTGTTGTCAGAAATATTGATTATCTGTACAGATACAGTGTTCATCAAACCCTAACATCAGTCTGTTGATTCATGCCACATAAATGACTGCATACCCACAAGGTATATGCAGGGTTTTCTTTTTACATTTTTAATAGGAGTAGATAGGTTCACCTTTCATCCAGTTCACACGCCTCCCCAGTCTTTTAAACAGGAGTAGAGGTTTATCCTTTGTTTCCTGTTCCTTCTAAAGTCTTCTCTTTCACTCCCAGCAGTTTCTTGCATCTTATTGGCATTACTGCCTTGCTTGGGGTGAATTGATTAAAAAAAAAAACAATTGATTTAATAAACAATTTTTAATTGTCATGCTAGACAATTTATCTCATCAAAATCCATCTTGTGCATTTATAAATCTACTATTCATCCATGCATTGAATATTACTGTCACTCTACATCCACAGTCTATTGTTCCTGTAGTATTAACAGTGCTGCCTCAAGAAAACTGCATGACTCCTTAGACCGAGGTTGACAGTGAAATGAAAAATTATTTTTGGGACATCAATTGCCAATTGTTGCCAATTTTGTGATGTCAACGAACACTCGTTGCCAATTTTTGTGGTGTCAACAAACACTCGTTGCCAATTTTTGTGATGTCAATGAACACTTGTTTCCACTTTTCAGATGTCAACGAATACTCATCACTTTCTTAATGCTCACTGTAGTAGAGACTTTGTAATCGCAGATACAACTATAGTAATGCCATTGAACAATACTGGTGTCAGACGCCTTTGAATAGCACTTGCAATAATAGTACTTACTCAATAATACTCGCTCGACAAGTAACCTGTATAGTGATCTGAATAGAGAAATAGTATAATGAATATAGTAGAGAATAGCAGTCCATATAGTAATAGAGGATAGGCTATAAATACAATCAATTCAACACACACTACCTCCCATATATGCATTTCCTCTATGGTCACATGGTCTACTTAATTCAATAATGGGATCGACTGTGTTTACTCACTGGTGATCTATGTTCAAGCTCAAGTGTCGGCAGCAACACTTTATTCCAATATAACAATTATTATATTTAATTGTACAGTGTCTTTAGCAGATATTTCTTCAATTTAATATATTTTTAATTTTTTTTTTTCAATAAACAGGTTATTTATTTGACGAAACATTTGAGTGTGTCCGTAACATCCAATCTCTTCCTTCAGAATGTGAAATGACTCCTGCCCTTAAAGCTTCAACTTATTTTCAGGATTTTAGCATCATTCCTGTAAGTTGTTATCTTTCTGATCTTTTGAAAATCTACAGAATTGGCAAAGATTTAATGTTTAAAAAAGATCTTTGTTTTAAAATTGCTTCAAGACAAAATGGCTCTTACAAGGGAATTAATGTAAAATAAACGAATTTAGAATTAGAACTTTCAATATTTGTTCATAGACTAAAAAAAGCTACTTCAAATCCTTGTTTGTAATATGACCATTACATAGGAATTAATGTGTCATAAACCCATATTCAGAATCAGAACATTAGTGATGTGATTAAAGACTATGAAAAATCCTTGTTTGGCACTACATGACCATTATATAGAAGTCAGTGTGCCATAAAGCAACATTCAGAATCAAAATCTTGGTTATATGATTAAAGACTATGAAAATCTACTTATAAATAAAAGTTTAGTACTATATGACCATTATATAGTAGTCAATGTTCCAGAAAACTACATTCAAGGTCAGAACCTTGATCTATGAGAATTTATTTCAAATCCTTGTTTGACATTACATGACCATTATATAGGTGTCAATGTGCTTTAAAACTACATTCAGAATCAAGTACTTTAGATATGTGATTAATAACTATGAGAATCTTCTTATAAATCCTTGTTTGGTACTCCATGACCATTATATAGGAATCACTGTGCCATAAAACCATATTCAGTATCAGAACCTTGGAGATGGGATTAAAAACAAAGAGACTCTATTTAAAAATGATTGTTTGGCACTACATGACCATTATATAGTAATCACTGTACCACAATACAAAAATTCAGAATGAGAACTTGGAAGATCTGATTAAAGATGTGGCCCTTCTTTAAGTCAATATTTATCATTTCCAACTGTAGATGACTAATATTTCCAGAAACTTCCATGCTAAAATGATGGCATGTATTTTTTTTTGTACAATCAAATAAATTTTGTTATTTTTTAATCTTAAATTATGCTTATGAATTATATAAAATTGCATTTAAACATTTTCTAATGGCTTCTGTTTTGAATCTAATTGGAAAACATTTTTTTTTTTTTTTTTTTTTTTTAAACTTTTTCCTAAAATTAAATAATCTTCTTTACCATATTGTCTTTACAGTCACCTGGAATTTTCAAAGATTTGAATATCACTGAAGAGAATATTTCAACAGGTGAATGAATTTGAAATATTACTTTTTAGCCATTCTGATCATTTGTACTTCTTGGGGAATTTTTTTTTTCCAAGTTTCCCAAGAATTTAGATATCAGATTTTTAATTATACGTTATTTAAACTGTTGTCCTCATAGTTTTTTTTTTTTTTTTTTTTTATAGACATGACATTTCAGGTGTCCATTTTTGGCTAAACAGGAACATTTTTGTAGAGACAAAAATAGCACAATAATAAAATAATACAAAATGTCTCCCTCCTGTCAACTAAAACTGGACTGCTGAATATTTTTAAATTTCTTTCCATTTTAAAGTAAATCATTTTGAATTTATATAGAATTCAAACGGTAAAAAAAAATGAGGCAGTTGGAATCAATGTACCAATTCCACAGCACTGAATCTTGTAGTCTATATGCTTTGTATTTTTATTTCATTTGTTTTTGTCGAATTTCATGGGGAAAAATATCAAGTTAAGAAATAGTAAAAGTGAAAAATAGTTTGATCAAGTCTACAAAATATATATAATATTAAAACTCTAATCTTGTATGTATGTGTGTTCTTGAGGTACATCTTAAACAATATATATCCCAACCAATTTAGGAGCATACTCCTGAGTACACTGCCAAATTTTATTCAAATTACACAAGGATTTCTGGAGAAAGGGACATTTTTCTGGCATTTTTAATAGGAAATTCAGTATTTGTTTTCAATACATATTCTTATATCATTCTGCATATATAAACAAATATTTGCCTATTATTATATTCCAATTATTGTATATGTGAAAAATAATAAACATTCATAATACATTATAACAATAGTATTAAATAAATTTAGATATACATAACAACATATATTTATACAATTCTCTACACTACATTAGGACATTTTTTATTAACAAATATCTTGGATGTTTGGCAAATACAAGGGAAAAAATGTTGGTGTGTCATTGTAAAACATAATCTGTATGGCTGGAAATTTGTGTCACATGATATACTTGATGGTAAATAAATAAATAGATGATTGCTGGTTTATGGCCATTACATATTTTGAAATAAATGTGAGGAAGAAACAAGTATGTATAATAAAAAAATGTATTTATTATTTTAAAAAAGACTACACCTGTTTTAAGCTATTACTCCAAATTTTCATGTAGTGTGTTAACTATGAAGCCCAGTGGAACAATAAACCTTCTTTTACCATCTTTAGTATTAATTTTATATTCAAAGTTTATTTTCTGAAAGAAATTTCTCTTTTAATGTAAAGAAATAAAATATCTCTATTGATCTTGTAAAATAATTTATTTTCATACTATAAATCAGGATGTATTTGAATTAATGTGTTTTTCATTAATTTTTGAACTGGAAAATTTTTTATTTATTATTAACTAATAATTAATAAAAACTATACTTATTATTTTGTAAAAAGACTACACCTGTTTTAAGCTGTTACTCTAATTTTGCATACAATGTCTTAACTATGAAAGACCAGTAGAACAATAAACCTTCTTTTACCTTCTTTAAATACAAATTAAAATGTGTAATTAACAATAAAATTGATAATTTTGTTATCTGATCATTTTATATCATGAACTGCCCATAAAAGAAAGCCAACTGGTTTATTGGTGGTCTAGTAAATAATAACTGTTTGGACAGAAAAAAAAAATTGCTTCAGTTTGATGAGCAAAAATAAAAGACTTTTTTAATATCTTATTTTCAATTTTATTGAACATGATTTAATGTTTCATAATTCTATTTTACATAATTTACCTGTGCTCATCAAGTCCCCTTTTGATAGTGTCCAGTGGGTCCTGTTTTCATCATTGTATTAAAACTAAGCTCTTAATGATAGATTTTCTGTGAAGCTTTATGTCACCCTCCCAAAAGATGTCTGCTTCATCATATGGTTTTGCTTCGAGTAGAAAGCAAGTTAACGCCAGACAGTGAATTTTTCTTTACGTTTCTTTCCAGAGTTAATTACTGATTTGTACAACAATAATCTAACTGTTCCATTTGCCAATGTCACCTTCTGTAACGACTTCCAGTGTATTTCGTTTGAACAGAGCAGTCATACAAGCATCTTACCTACATACAACGGGACAGAAAACATTTGCTACAATGTTGTCGAAAAGGTAAGTTCTACCACATCTATTAAAATATAACACAAAATTCAAATTAACACAATTTTTAGCCATATTTTGCCTGTTTTTTTTTATATCTGACCTCACAACTTTGTATAATGCTAAAAAATGCTTGAGACAAATTTATTCTCCTTTTTTCTATAAGTTACGAAATATTAAAACAATTTAAATATTTAAAATGTAAGGAAATTGTTCTCTGGTTTTAATTTAAAATGTATTCATTTCTTTTCATACATTAAATTGATCCCTACCCACATTTGGCAACAGATGCTAGGCACTAAATATCAGCTTTTAATATAACTTTTCTTATCAGAAAATGATAATCTAAACCTCTATTCCTCTTTTTTATTCTAAATCCATTTTTGATACTGGAAATTTTCAGGATTTCAGAACCAGTTTAACTTTGTCCTAACTTCAATTATTAGTAAAGTTATGAACATTTCCCCAAGTGATATGTGTGTTATGGGACCTTACCCATAATAACATAATGGACTATTCTATACGTAATAAATACTGTGCCTCAAGAGGAAGCGGGGAGTTCCGTCTGAAGTCGGATAACCGGCTGATCGGTTGAACTCTCTGTCTTCGGGCAGTGAGAAACCCGAACGAGGCTATGGCGAAGGGCGGAGTCTCTTTTGGGGAGGTAAACCGAACCTGAACCTGTTTATACGGTTCAAAGGGCATATTTTTGGCTGAGCCCATGGGCCCGGAGATCCCACGTTAAACCGACCTTATGCCACACGGACGTCAGAAGTCTGTCAGTCAGAGCAAGTCAGCCAGTCAAGTCAGAGGTAGTCCGACAGAGTCGTGTTCAGACAATTACTACTAAACCTGATTGTTCGTACTAACACTTTCTACTTCTATGTATATATTCCTGCTTGTAATATATCTGTGTTATTCCATGTACGTGTTCAAGTTCTTCTTATTTGGTTCTAACTTGGACTATCACCGTGGTACAAGGAACTGGACCATAACAGTGGCGACAAGCGATTCAAACTCATTCGATGGAAGAAAAAAAAATTTTTGTGGTGATCTGGGAAACCCTTAAAGAAAAATAAACTCCCTACTTTTTTTGCTATCCATCGTATGTAACAGTGGACGAGAATTAAAATCTAAAAAGAAAAAAATTTTTTTTTTCTTTATCAAATTTCACTGACAACAAAGGAAAGTTTTTTTGCGAGCACAGGCTACAGAATATCAGATTACGCAAAAAAATACATTAACATGGAAGATTTTAAGTCAACAATTATGGAACTTAACAAAATCCAGTTTGAACAACAACAAAGGTACGAACAAAAACATCTGGAAATGCAAGAATTATTGTTACGTGCAATGACAAATAAGGAGCAAAAACCCAAGAATGAATCAGTTCTCTCTCAAGACGCTATTTGGAGTAATATCAAAGATTTCAAGTACGCACCCGACGAAGATAAAACTTTTGCAAATTACTTCTGAAGATATGAAGATCTATATGATTTTGACTGTAAAGATTGGTCAGACGCATGTAAAGTATGCTTTTTATTAAGAAAATTAGGCACAGGCAAATATACCAAATTCGTTGATTATATCCTTCCCAGAAAAACAAGCCAGTTAACATTCAAAGAATCTATAAAATTGCTAACGGAACTTTTCAACCATAATACTTCACTATTTCATAAAAGATGGAAATGCATGAACCTTACAAAAAGGATAGCGAAGATTACATAACTTTCGCATCCATTGTTAATGAATATTGTAACGACTTCAAATTATCGGAACTCAGCGCTGACAACTTCAAATGCTTAATTTACGTCCAAGGTCTGGTTTCAACTAAAGACTCAGAAATGAAACATAGAATACTTACTAAATTGGAAAATGAACAAGATCTGACACTACAAAAACTAGGCGAAGACTGCCAGAGATGCGTCAGTGTAAAAAAAGACTCTAAAGACATAGAACAAGCTGGCATAGCATACATACGCAAAGTACGAAGACAAACAAATTTTCCCTCCTCATAAACAAACCGAACTGATTTTCCTGCCTCAAGAACAGGTAAAACAAAATTTTCTAATTATAATCAACATAAAAAGAAACTACCACCAAGTCCATGCTATTGTTGTGGGTCTTGGCATTGGGTTAAAGACTGTACATATCGTGCTAAAACTTGTCTATCATGTAAAAAAATTGGTCACAAAAGATCTCACTGTTGGTATAGAAAAGAAAGCAGAATAAGAATTACGAGGATCGACCAAACAGATGAGACTAATATAAGAAAATATGTACAAGTTGAAATGCAAAACAGAAAAGTTAGGTTACAGCTGGATTCTGGCTCAGACTTAATTATCATAAACCTACAAACATGGAGAAAACTGAACAAACCTGTCATGTTAAAAACGAATAAAATTGCGAGATCAGTTACGGGGAGAAAGATAAAATTCGAGGGTGAAGTAATTACAAACGTAACATTTAACGAAATGACGGAAAAACTAAAAATGTACATCTTAAGAAATACTGAAAACCTATTCGGGACAGACTGGATGCAAAAATTCGAATTGTAGGATCTACCTATTAGCACCTACTGCCAGAATGTAAAAAGCTTATGGCAGACAATTTAAAAGGAAAACTAAAAACGAGTTTCCCCGAAGTATTTTTGGCAAGAAAATGGCAGCTAATATCAAAATAAAGGATAACGTTCAAGCTATTTTTAAGAAAAAAAGGAGTGTACCGTTTGCATCAATAGAAAAGAGTGACCAAGATTTATCTAGACTCGAAAATACGGGCATATTGAAAAAAGTAGAGTACAGTAAATGGGCTGCACCGATGGTCTACGCTAAGAAGAAATCAAGAGAAATTCGAGTTTGTGCTGATTTTTCTACAGGTTTGAATGCAGCAATAAAGGACTACCACTATCCGCTACCTAGTCCTGAAGAAGTACTCAGTAAATTAAATGGCGGAAAATATTTTTCAAAAATTGATCTAAGTGAGGCTTACCTGCAAATTCCAGTCGATGAAGAAAGTTCAAAAATACTATGCATAAACACACACAAGGGATTGTACAGATACCAAAGACTACCATTTGGAATTAAAGTATCGCCGGCTATTTTCCAGCAAACAATGGATACAATGCTGACAGGACTAGAATACACAATAGCACATCTGGATGACATATTGATTAATAGTGAAAACGTTGAACAACACTGGCAACATGTACAAGAAGTGTTTAAGAGAATTCAAAGCTACGGATTCAAAGTGAAAGAAAATAAGTGTGATTTTTTTTCATGAAGGAAATTAAATATCCTGGCCATATAATAGACCAAGAAGGTAGATGTCCAGACCATGAAAGGTCTACAGCAATAAAAAAAAGATGCCAGTTCCTAAGAACATAACAGAACTACAAAGTTTTCTTGGATTAGTGAATTAATCCTTCAGGGTCATGTTGTGTCAGTAGGCAGCCTCCTGGACAAAACAGCACAGTCTGGCCTCAATTCACTTCACTGTAAACTGACATCACTCCGCTACCAAGAATTCATACCTCAAATGCATAAACTTCACGCACCATTGAACGAACTGCTAAAGAAAGAAAAAGTTTGGCTGTGGACGGATCAATGCCAGGAAACATTCGAAAAAATAATCAAGACATTAACATTGGATTTATTTTTGGTACACTATGATCCTAAACTAGAGATTATTGTAGCAAGTGATGCAAGCGCCTACAGTGTCATAGCGTGTATATTACATAAAATGCCAGATGAGACAGTAAAACCTATCACACATGCTTCTCGAACCCTGCTACCAGCGGAGAAAAACTATTCGCAAATTGAGAAGGAAGCTCTAGCAATTATCTTTGCAGTAACAAGATTCCATAGATACATCTATGGTAGACACTTTACTCTGCAGACAGATCACAAACCGTTAATAAAAATTTCTGGTTCAAAAAAGGTCTACCAGTATACACGGCAAATAGGCTATTTAGATGGGGAACAATTCTTCTGAACTATAATTTCAGATTGGAATATTTACCAACGAAAAGAATCGGGCATGCGGATGGTCTGTCGAGACTTATATCAACAAAGACAGAGCCATTGGAAGATACAGTAATCGCAGCCCTTAGAAATGAAGAAGACATAAGGACAGTACTATGTTGTACAGTCAGAAACCTCCCAGTCACATTGCAAGACATAAAAAATGAAGCCAAAAATGACGAATTTATTAATGAAACAAAAGCAAAAATAGCAGAAAAAAATGAGAAAATTTCGGACAGCTTTTCTCTATGCGATAATGTCCTACTTTACAACGAAAGGGTTGTAATTCCCAAAACATTACAAAAGCGGATTCTGAAGGATTTCCACAGGGGACACCCGGGTAAAAATAGAATGAAGTCGTGAAGCTATGTATATTGGAAGAATATGGACCAGGATATTTCTCAAATGGTGGAAATGTGCAAGGGGTGTAATTTAGCAGCTAAAGCACTGCCAATCATACATAAGCCTTGGCCTGAAACTGATCGTCCATGGTCAAGAATACACGCAGATTATGCAGGACCAATTAATGGGTTCTACTTTTTAATCATAGTTGATAGCTACAGTAAATAGCCGGAGGTGTTTCAGTGCAAAAATCCTACTACAGAAACGACAATAAATTTCCTCCACAAGCTATTCGCTCAGTTTGGCGTAGTGGACTGTTTAGTAACAGATAACGGAATGCAATTCTCGTCAGCAGATTTCCAAGAGTTTTGTGAAATCTATCAAGTAAAACATATAAAATCCCCGCCTTACCACCCAAGATCAAATGGACAAGCGGAGAGATTCGTGGATACTCTCAAAAGAGCATTACGAAAAGCGTACGATGTGCCTATGGAGAAAGCATTACAGCAATTCCTACAGGTATATAGAATAATGTCAAATAATGCGACACCATCAACATTATCACCAGCAGATATCATGTTTGCTAGGAAAATCAGATCAGCGTTCAATAAATTACTACTAAGTAAAACAAAACAAGTAATAGTCCTACACACCAAAAAGAAAATTCCTTCCAAGGGAAAAAGTTTTTTCAAGGCATACAAAAATAATACCTCTTGCTGGGAACAAGGGATAATTGAGAAAAGAATTGGCAATATGATGTACATAATTCAAGAAAAAAATTCTCACACAGAAGACACGTAAACTAGATAAGGAAGAGACAATTACAGGATGCTAACGGTCCACCTAAAGAAGAGGTATTGGACACGATTTTCAACACATTCGATATAACAAGACCGCAAATAATGCCAGAACCAAGAAAATCGTCTAGAAAAAGAAAATTTACTGAACCTTTGGAAATAGATCCAAAGAAAAAGATATTAAAAAACCCCTGCTACGCAAAATTTTTGGAAGGGGGGGGTGTTATGGGACCTTACCCATAATAACATAATGGACTATTCTATATGTAATAAATACTGTGCCTCAAGAGGAAGCAGAGAGTTCCGTCTGAAGTCTTGACCCACATGTGATCTCTTACCCTTGACCCACATGTGATCTCTTACCTGGTAAGTGCTGTTCCCAGGATCTAAGGTCATTGTCACAGTGTCAGCCCACTTCACTCCAACTTCATATCAGAAGATCACATTGGCTGGTGTGGTCAGATGTGAGTTGATATCCTTCAGGGTCATGTTGTGTCAGTAGGCAGCCTCCTGGACAAAACAGCACAGTCTGGCCTCAATTCACTTCACTGTAAACTGACATCACTCCGCTATGCCATTCCCAGCTGGGGCGTACACACAATGGAATCACAGATTTATTCCCCACTTACGTGCAAAAGCTCTGAACTCCCTCCTGCAGAAGGCTGTGTCATTGTTCATAACAAGCTTGTGGTAGGCCATGCTCAAAGAACACCACCTCCAGCTGTCAAATCACATTTGCCGTGTCTTGTCTCATGAACTGCTTCCAAATGGGAAAACATGACAGGCTGCAGTCTGTGAGCATGAAGAAATGGCAGGCATTGTGATGTGTGTTGTCCATTCCTAACCTCTGCCAGTTCCTGTTCACCTCCAACTTTTTCCTGGTTCCACTGAGTTTAAGTCTGTACTACATGGCCCAGGGATTGAGCTCACATTATGTTACCAAATTCACAAACCAATACTTTAATTAACTAGGCTTCTGTTTCATGGGACAATCCTGAGTCTATAACTATTTTTTTAAACAAAGTAGACATCTAGTTGAAGATTTCCTTTTTTTTTTTTCACCAGTCACCAGAAAATTAAAACATTGTTAGATTAGCTTTTCTTCCACTTGCCTGTTTTTTGCTTCTATTGGGGTTTGAACCTCTGGAAAAAAATGGGATTGTCAAAGGGGTTATTCTATATATGCGATAAAATGAATCAATGTAGTTCACTACTATACTTTCTTTCCAAGATTAATCCAGGATTACCGAAATATTACTTTAGAGCAAAGATGATTGGAGTTTTATCATCATGCAACCCTACAAATGAAAGCACTGTTGTTATTTGGTCAATCAAAAGAATTTTGAAATCAGCTGTTATACCATAATACCTATTCTATTATAATAGACTCTCCCACAGATAATAAGTAGTAGTAGCAGTCGCCAGTTGGGCTCAGTGGTGTTGAGTGAGTCTGTCGGACATTGAAGTATCAACCATCACAACTAGATTGCTGCGTCATTAACTCTTATTTCAAGTTCCTAACGTTTTGTACGTCGAACCTAATTTAGGACGACATTGAAATACAAGCCTCCACTGTGAAAACTACTCTACAACATCAACAGAGTTAGATTGTTATGTAGGGACATTGTTATGTAGGGATATCTGTAGGGACATTATTATTATTATTATTAATAAATAAAAATATAAAATAATAACAATAATGAATGTCCTGGATAAAATAAAATAAAACAAATAACATTCAAAATTTGTTTAAAACAGAATAATAAAAGTTCTCCCAGAATGCAACAGAAATATTTACTGCCTGAAAATGGACTTTGTGCCAAAAATGCTGAACTCTGTCTCTTCACTATCAACCATTGGAGGGTCAAGATATCCATCTCCTCTCCTTAGCACATTGCTTGTTATGATATAAAGTGACTATCTTCCTTTATTACAAGCAACCTTTAAACACATGTAACTAAAATATGCACACACCAGTACACAAAAATAAATAAAATTTAACATGCTTTTTAAGTGTTATTTCTGTGTATATTTTTATCTTTGTGAACACTAGGCTATCCCTGCTGTTCTGTTTTTTTATTATTATTATTATTATTATTATTGCTCACCCTGTTTCCACTGTAGCTAAGGATTTTTACTCACAATAACTATGCAACTAAAATCCAAAGCAACACTTTAATCCACTAGGCCTTTGTTTCATTCAAGAATAAATTATTACATTTATATTTACTCAGGCTGACATCTCTTTCCTCTTTATTTCAGGTGTTTTATGAAATACTCTACAAGGGCACTGCTGGAATCATGTCTATAGATATTAAAATTCATTTGACTGACGTGAGGAACCTTAATATTCATATGACACAAACCTTCAGTACAGAATTTAAACAGGTAACTTTGAATTTGTTTGATTAAAATAATGACACTTTTCAGGGATCCACAGAATTTGATTTAATTTTCGCAAGCTTGTTTTCCTAGAAAGCAATTACTTTGTAAGAGATTAAAAGATGTCAGTCATTTCAAGAGAGTGGAATAAAGCCTTGAGTCTAAGCTTGATTGAATCTACACTTGGGCCGTTATACAGGAGTCAGTGTGCTATAAAATGACATTTAGAGATGTGAGTAAAGACTATAAGAATTTACTTTTAAAATTTTTCTTTAACACTATATGACCATTATATAGGTGTCAATGTGCCATAAAACTATATTCAGATTCAGAACTTTGGAGATTTGATTAAAGACTATGGGAATCTACTTAAAATCTTTGTCACTACATGACCATTATGTAGCTATCAATGAGCCATAAAACATTCAGAATCAGAACTTTAAAGATCTGACTATAAGAATCTACTTAAAAATCCTTGTTTGGCATTACATGACCATTTTATAGGTGTCAATGTGCCTAGGAATTTAGCCACCTGTATTTAGAGACTGTACTTCATCTTCAGTTATCTAGGCTCTTTGGTAGCAGCAGATGATCACTATGAGAAAGAAATCTGCCACTGAATTTTTTTCACAAAAGATGGATTCAGTCAGCTTCAAAACATTTTCACTGACAGAAGTATTTCATTAAATCTGAAACATTGACTATTAAAAATGTACACAACATCAATTTTACTGTATGGCTCTGAGGCATGTACCCTAAATGCCAAAAGCAAACAGACACTCCAATCAACAGAAATATGGTTCTACCAGTGAATGTTAAAAGTTCCTTGGACTGCACATGAAATGAAAAACTCAGTTCTACAAACCCTTGAGCACTGGCAGAAAAGATTCTTGGGCCACAAACTTGAAGATCTTTGAGAGAAAGTTTTCATGGTTCAAAAGCCTGGGAAAGATAGCAGACCATCTTTGCTCTTCCCCTCAAAGCTAGACAACTCTGGGACATGGTATGGCACCATGGACCTCTCTGATTTCAGACCATTTCCCAATGGGTGTATCACCCACAGTACTTTAGTTAACTTATTAATAAACTAGGAATTTTGACACCAAACATTCTATTTACTATTTATCTTATTCCTGTCATTTGAACATGACTAAATATTTTTGTTTTATTTTAGCCAATTCAGTCCAGCAAAGAAGCAATTCACTTTGGTTTTTGTTTCATGATTCTCTTTATGTTTGAATCTTCAAAGTTGAACATATCCAATAACAATAAATCCTGAATTTGATGCTTTCAACCCAAGAGATCTGTAAATTGAAAACATTTCTGTTATTTCCCAGAATGCTTTGCATATCAGGAAGAAACCATATTTTATTTCAGTGCCAAAGTTCCTTTTCTACTCTGTTTTATTTTCTATATATTATTTTTATTTTTTTCAATTACCAGTCTAAAGGAATTCTAATGCGAAAGAGTGGAAATCCTGGCTATGTCAGATCTGAGCCTATTATCGCAGGAACCATGGAACAATCAGTCACTAATCAGAAGACTGTGTATCCTTTGTTAGTATTTAATTTGAGAGCACCTTACTAGATCATCCTACATATCTGGGTTGAAAGTCAGAAAGGTTTTCATTCATGCATAAGGTGTCTTGGGCAAATAGACCAATGAAATCACAGCCGATGTTCTCCAACTTGAAGAATCACCTTCATCATAGATTCCACCCTAGCTGTTGACTTCAGTCTAATGAAGCCCGATATCATTTCATTATTGCACAGGCTGACTCCATAGTAATTGAATCCAATATGCCTAAAGGATGTCCTTCAAGGAAGATGAGAGGACTTTTGGGACTTGAGAGGATAAGGGATGTCCTTCTGAAACCTGTGAGAGTAAAGGGTGTTCTTCTGGAAGATGATAAGGTACAAGATATCCTTTGGAAAGATGAGAATGTAAAGGATGTCCTTTTGGAACCTGAGAGGATAAAGAATGTCCTTTTGGAACCTGAGAGGGTAAAGGATTTCCTTTTGGAACCTGAGAGGGTAAAGGATGTCCTTTTGGAACCTGGGAGGATAAAGGATGTCCTTTTGGAACCTGAGAGGGTAAAGGATGTCCTTTTGGAACCTGAGAGGATAATGGATTTCCTTTTGGAACCTGAGAGTGTAAAGGATGTCCTTTTGGAACCTGAGAGGATAAAGGATGTCCTTTTGGAACCTGAGAGGATAAAGGATGTCCTTTTGGAACCTGAGAGGGTAAAGGATGTTCTTTTGGAACCTGAGAGGATAATGGATTTCCTTTTGGAACCTGAGAGGGTAAAGGATGTCCTTTTGGAACCTGAGAGGGTAAAGGATTTCCTTTTTGAACCTGAGAGGGTAAAGGATATCCTTTTGGAACCTGAGAGGGTAAAGGATTTCCTTTTGAAACCTGGGAGGATAAAGGATTTCCTTTTGGAACCTGAGAGGGTAAAAGATGTCCTTTTGGAACCTGAGAGGATAATGGATGTCCTTTTGGAACCTGAGAGGGTAAAGGATTTCCTTTTGGAACCTGAGAGGGTAAAGGATTTCCTTTTGGAACCTGAGAGGGTAAAGGATTTTTTTTTGGAACCTGAGAGGATAAAGGATGTCCGTTTGGAACCTGAGAGGATAAAGGATGTCCTTTTGGAACCTGAGAGGGTAAAGGATGTCCTTTTGGAACCTGAGAGGGTAAAGGATTTCTTTTTGGAACCTGAAACGGTAAAGGATGTCCTTTTGGAACCTGAGAGGGTAAAGGATGTTCTTCTGGAAGATGATATGTTACAAGATATCCTTTGGAAAGATGAGAGGGTAAAGGATGCCATCTGAAAGCTGAGGGTAAAGGATGTCCTTCTGGAAGTTGAGAGTGTAAAGGATTTCCTTATCCTTAGATAAACTGTGTGAAATATTTCCTGCTTGATACAAAAGGGTAAACAATGTAATTCTTCAAAAGGAAGAGAACATAGGTTGTTGTTCTGTTAGATTAAAAGACTAACCATTAGATAAAGAGAATGAAAGATGACTTTCTTTCTGTTTAAAAGAGTAAACTTTGTATTTTTTCAAAATAAAATGTAATGGCTGTTTTCTAAAGAGGAGATAATGTGTCATGTTTGATAAAAAACAGTAAAGGATGTCTCTCTCTACAAATTAAAGTGAATTAAGGATATCCTACCATTTGATAAAGTGAGGAAATGCGTACCACTAGATGGTAAAGGATGGCTTTCTGCAAGATAAAGAGCAAGGTGTTCAATAAAAAAAAATGATAAAAGTTGTTTTATTAAATAAGGACGGTAAGATAAATAGATTTTCTAATAGAGATATGTGCAGTTGTCAGTGTAGGAAGACACGTCAAAATGACACAAGAAATACCAACAGGCAGAACAAAGTCTAATCATTGTGAAGGGAAAATAATTGAGACTTTTTGCTGACTGACAGATTAAGGTGGGGGTCTGTTGGGAGTGGGGGGCTGAAGAGCCTCCAAAGATTAATTGGTGAATTATTTCAGATATGAATGCTGAATCAATGTATAGAAACTTATAATTATCTATCAAAAATAAAAAGGGTTCAGCAGATTGTATCTACACTATAGGCCAAAGGTTTGGAGATACCCTGTAGATTTCAAAGGACTGGCTAAAAGTTAAAGGCTGCATGCTTTTTCAAAACTAGATCACTGCAGGCCAGACAAGGATTTTATCATATTGTTATGGGGTCCTCCCCTTTTTCATATAAGTGGACTCGACCAGAGTGTTACTTGGACTGCTGTTGTTAAATACCCGGAGTCAGTCAGAATATGAACTGAGATTGACAGAGTGAGAGTGAGCAGAGGATGTAATTGAGTTGAAAGTAGAGTAATAGTGTGAGGTAACCGCTTGTAGAAGTCACAATCACGTAGACTCTAAGGAAGTCCTACTTTGAGACTGTATATATATATATATATATATATATATATACATCTAAATGTATTGTTAAAATATTTTAATTGGACAGAGCAAGCAATTTTGGATGATTCCGTTGGATTTTTTTTTTTTTTTTTTTTTTTTTTCTTATATTGAATTACTCTCCATTAACCACCATAGAGATCCTTCCCTGCCCCCCATTAAAATGTCTGATAGTCAACTTCCTGAGAGCAACTCCCTGCGTCTGCTCGGCCTCACGCTGACTGCTGACCTGAGATGGAACAAATACATTGAGTCAATTGCTTCTTCCACCGTGAGGAAAGTTGGCTCTCTGTGCCGCGCCAGGAAATTTTTCTCCCCTGAATCGATACTTCAAATATACAGAACAACCATTCGCCCTTGCATGGAGTATTGTTGCCATATATGGGCTGGAGCACCTTCTGCTTACCTCGGAGTTCTTGACAAGATCCAGAGACGGATATGTAATCTAATTGGCCCTGATCTAGCGTCTCGTCTGCAGTCACTCTCTCACAGACGCGCCGTCGCCTCTCTCTGTCTTTTCTACAAATACTTCCATGGTAACTGCTCTGATGAGCTGCTCTCTCTGGTTCCCAGACTCCATGAATTCAAGCGCCCTATGAGGCTGGCATCCCGCTCTCACCCTTACACCGTAGAAACTTTCAAATGTAGCCGTCTCTTCTACTCCAATAGCTTCATACCTCGCACCTCTCGCCAGTGGAACACCCTCCCCAATTACTGTTTCCCTGAAAGCTATAATCTCCAACTATTCAAATGTAATGTCAATCGGCATCTCCAATTACCTTGATCTACTCACTATCCTTCTCCTCTTCCTTTCTCCTATCACTCTTATCTGCTCTCGCTCCAAATCTTCCGCAACCCCCTGCATCCTAGTGGCTTCATACCTTGCTTGGGGCACAATGCTTAAAAAAAAAAAAAAAAAAAAGTAAAACTAAGAATTTATTTGGCATTTAATGATAACCAATGCAAGCTGCAGAGTTTCTCTAAGACAAGACAAAGAATTTTATCAGATCAACAATGGTACAAGAATGGATTAAACAGGCAATTAAGAAGCAGTGTTCTTAGGTATTGTTATAAATTGTTGACTAGTATTTACTTTCCTCTTCATTTCTTATTAGATGAAGCATTGTCAGCCATTATTATTTATTTTTGACTATTACTTATATTTTCATTTACATTCATCTTAATTTTTTAATTGCTTTTCATTTTATCACCTTGCCAACTTGTTTATTGTCCTTACCTGCCATTAGCCAATTGATTAAATTGAACTTAGATAGAAACAACTGGCTGACACTTCCCATGAGCACAGCCAATGGAGAATGTTCAAGAACAACACGGGTGCCTGTCAAGTTTGGTCAGGAGATTCGTACTGGATGCTTCATCAGGTAAGTCAATATCACACCTGCTTTATCCACATTGGTGGTGGGGGGTGAGTTTCATCATTCTACTCCTAGGCCCTATGTTTCCCCTATTATGAAGGCTCAAAATTTTGTTCAGACATTACAGAATTACTCTAAAGATTTGCTTTTAAATCCGTTGAAAGCAGAGATGTGAAAAATATGTAGAACAATCTTGCAAAATAGATGTGACATCTTAAAGATAGCTTTGAATGTCTATGTTCTGCCCCTGAGAGTATGCATCCATGTCATTCGCACGTGTAACCTCGAAGAGAGCTAGATAAGCAATTAAGATTCTGAAGACAAAGTAACGTAAGTTTATTAATAACCAAAAGGGTAAAACTAGAAAAAGAAATAAATACATATAAATAAGACAAGTTAGTCTGAGAATACAAACAAACGAGGGTAACAAGAAATATAACAAAAGCAACATAAGACTATGCTTAAATGGGTAAAGAAATCTGGCAAATTCTTTGTTTGCAATATAAAGTTTGCTACAGGAATACATTCCAATGTTGCAGTGAGTTCACAAAAAAAGAAGTTACAAGGTTACATCTTCGAACAGTGTATGTGGACAGTGAACACGTGTTGAAAGGATTCTACACAGAGAGATGCAGAAGTATAAAATATGGCTACTTGAAACAAATAACATGGAAATGTGTAGCCTTCTTCCCGGCCAGTCCATCCGATGTCCAATCCTTACAACTGAAGTTGACCGCTTCATCCCAAGCCTTGCCTTATCCCAGGTTGTGTTTGGTTTTGATCATAAGGCTGACAAAGAACAAATAATCAATAGGAATTGTTGTATTGGGTTGGTCCAGGCAAAGTGAAGCCACAAATAAAAATAAAAAAAATTTGAATAAAAATAAATGCTTTTATATACGTTCTGTTTGTACAGTGCTTGGTTAGTCTTAACATTAGAATTTATCAACTCTTCAGGCAAAAAATTATCAACCCAACTCACTTTGTAAGTTAAACGTGACACTTCGGTTAATTTAGTCAAGTCTGAACAATGTTTCTGGCACAAGGCTTATGTTGGAGGTTGTCTTCAGGTAGACAGTTATGTGTTATCGGGCAAAGCGGTCTTCTGTCATCTCAGCATTTGGAACAACTGTGTCGACCACATTGATTTCTTGCATTTATTGACATTCACCCAAAACTGGCATCGGGCATGACACAGTTAGGACATGCCATCTTGAAATTTTTGGATTGACAAGTTTTCATTATTGTTATTGTTTTTGTCAATTTTATTTATTTATTTTTTTTTTTACATGATTTTTTGCAACAAAATTTTTTGTAGGATAACAATTTTTATAACTTTGAAATAAATTTGGGAATAATCAAATTTAATTGTGAAATTCAGTGAAGGTCACCCATAAACTAAAATAATTGTTTGTAAGGAAAGTAAGGACCTACGTACATCAAATTTTCTTTAAGAATTATCATTGAACTTTTAAGAGGTAAGCTGAAATATTAATGCAATACTTAAACGCAGTGATAAATTTTCTGTAGTTTATTATTGCCTATTGCATCTACTCCTCCCTAACTATTGTGATGAGGGCCCTCCACAAGATCTAGCTTAAATGCTGCCTGATAGGGCAGATATATATATAGTATATATATATATATATATATATATATATATAATTCAATTCTTATTCATATATAGAATTAATACAAATATAAAGTTTGTCACTTTTCTGATTGGTGTTACCTTCAGCATCCCAACTCCAGAGTTTCATAGACAAAAACCCTCCAGCAATCACTCTGGCCACTGTTACGCCAGGGGTTTCGTGGGACTACGATAGCCGGGAATAACGAGAAAATAAAATAAAAAAATAAGTAAGAGATCCCAAGGTTCGATATAAAAATAAAAAAAAAGAACGTTGGGAGGGGAATTCTCAATTCGGACGTCGGTAAACGCAGAGAGAAAATGAACAATTTGCAGACACAGAACAACAGAAGACAAACGATAATATATAAATCGATTGATTATTATTATCGGGGTACAGTTTGTTCAAAGGATATTTATACACTTCTTTGAAAGTAACGGATGGGATTGACAATATTCTAACATGAATTTTTGACTGGCGACGTCCAATCCGTGTTGATGGCGAGGAGAACACACAGAAAAATTACGGGAATGTAGCCGATTTGGGTTGACGGTGTTGATCTAGATTCTCGCGTCGGTCCTTTTGGTTTTTGGTGGCATCTAATTCTTCTGGCATCAAACAACGAAGTCTGGTTCTGGTGACAACTGCTTCTTCTAATGGCAAATAGCTAAGACTGGTTTTTGGTGACGTCCGACTCCTCCGAAAGCCAGCAACTATGTGTGGTTGTTGTTACTTCAACATGTGCAAAACAAAAACTGCTATCTGTTGAGTCACGTGTTGGCCCCCAAAAAAAGGTATGCGTCATTTATGGACCCTGTTAATGTTATCCGCACTTATCTGTCAAACAGCGTTCGTTTCGGCCGGCGACTATGGAACTGGCTAACATCATTCACACCTATCTGTCAAACAGCGTTTGTTTGGCCTACGCATCAGGGACCAGGTAGGAGATGGGAGTAGAAGGGAAGGTTCTTTTCCGAGAACTGGCCCTGACTCATCTGCTTATAAAAACAATATATATCTCACAATCTGCACATTCAGGAAATAAAGAAGTTAAGATTCATATGTTTCGTCGCAAATACAAAAGGTACTGAAAATATACTTATAAAATCTGAGGTGAGGGTACAAATATGGGGTTAACATAACACCACTCATTAGGAAATATCACCTATTGCCTGTTTATATTTCCCTTTTTTTCTTCTTTCATATGCATGTTGATATTTTTTCATAGTTTCCGTTCATGTGTGTACATGTGCATGCTCATGCACCTGCCTGCACTTATGTGCATGCATGTAGAATGGCGTGATTATTTCTCCTTTTCATCATTTTTCTTGTTACTTTATACATTCTTCTTATTGGTTTTGCACTTTTTCTCTTTCTTTCATTGGTAGCAATTTTGACATCCTGTTTTTCAGACATTCACTGAACTGTTAATTTTTGGGCATTCTAGTTTTCCTTTGGAAAATTGTATTTCATTTTTTTATATAAATAATTTTTTTTCTTAATGTTTAAATGATAAGGTAAATATTTATATATGTTTTGACTTGGCCATTATTTTCTTTTTCTTATTTAATTTGGTGGTATCTTAAGTATTAGGATGTTAATTACAGGAGGTTATGTTTATAATTTAGCTTTTATTTATTGTTGTTTGAATTTACATGCATAGTCTTACATTCATGCACACACACACACACACACATATATATATATATGCCTATACATTCATGTACATGCACATATATGCACAAACGCATGCACACAAAAGCATGCACACATGTATCTGTGCTTCATTATTAATACATTAATTATTGCTTAAATAGTAAAGTAATTTATTTTTTACAAATTTTAGGTTATTAATTCTGAGTGGTTAGGTTTATAGATGTATTTTCTTTGATGTTTGAATATATGTATATGAGGTATATAATATACACACTCACACCCACACATATGTACACATATTTTTAAATAGTAAATCAAATATTTGTTTGTTATCATTTATATAATGTTTCATTTTTGTTTAGTATCTAGTAGCTTTCTTTTTCCTTGGTGTTATCTTGAATATTGAAGTATTAATTATGGAAGGTTAGGTTTGATGTTGTGTGTGTGTGTGCACACGTGCATACATATGTATATATTTATGCACACACACATACATACCCATATGTGTATATTTAATATTTGTTTGGTTATTTTATTTTGTTTATTTTATTTCTTTGTTTAATTTTGTTTATTTTATGTTTTATTTATTTATATTATCTATATTTTTATTTTTTATTTCATTATTTTATGTTTATATTAATTTTATTTATATTTTTTTAATTAGTGCTTAGATGTCAAAGTAAGTATTTATTTATATGCCTACACTTACCCATTATTTCAGTTTTCTTGTTTAAGAGTTTATTTTGGTTTCTAAAGCTAATTATTGCTAATTTTTCCTCTAAGTTTATTTTACAGTTTTTATACTCTATGAGGCTGCACTTTTTATAATTTCCCATTTGATTTTGGTGGGAATATTGTTTTCTTTTTGGGTCCATATGTATTTTGATAGGGTTGTATTGTTTATTTTTTCTGTCAAAGAATATTTTGTGCTTGTTTGTTTTCTGTAGCACCAATAAAAAAAATTTTGTCTGTGCTAATTTTATTAGTTACAGTATCTTTGTATATTCTGTTATTTGTTAAACATTTAAGTGGGCAATTTTGTTTGATTCTTCAATTACATTTGATGGTATTATTTTACTAGACGTTATTGTCATTGTTGAGTATTTTTTGCTGAGTATATATATATATATATATATATATATATATATATATATATATATATATATATGAGAGTTTAAAAACCCATGTAAGTTTGGCAATGTTTAACCTTTATGCCTTTTCAAAACAGCATGTCATAAGTATGGATTTCCTTTGACACCACTATTATTTTAACTATCTTCACTTTTCACCAATGTTTATTCTTTTAAAAAGTGATGATTAAAATTTTAATAAAACTTAAACATATAAAAGTGAATTTATACATTTTCTTTGTTCTTTTTGACAAGAAAAATAATAAATGCTATTTATTTATTTATTAAAGTAATTCTTACAAAAATTGATAGTAACTGACCTTGCTTCATTTAAGAAATTCGGTCAACTTTAGACTATTACTACTTGGTGAAAAAGAAAGAGGAATAAAATGAATGAAACACTAGTCAAAAATTAATATTAATTGACAATGCTTCCTCTAAGAAATTTGGGCAATTTTCTTGGTGTAAAACAACAGATATAAGATTGGAAAATACTAGTCAAAAATTAATAATTATTGACAATGCTTCATCTTAGAAATTCAAACAAGTTAAGACTATTACTACTTGATGTAAAAGCAACAGAAATAAGATCAAAGAAATACTATCAAAAATTAATAATAATCATTGCTAAAGTTGATTTTTCATGTGCCAATTTCAAAAAGACCATGGCTTTTTCAAACTAAGCAAATAGCACTTGTTTACATATATCTGTATTTTTATTTTATTTTTATTTACTTTATATTTCTAAATAAATTTTATTTTTTATTTTTGTTGAGATGTTGTGAGGTTCCTGCGTGTCGGTGTATGAATCAAGACAAACACAGTTGTAGAGGAAAATACTGGTATATTCATAAAAGCAATTAACAATAGAGTGATTAGTAGAACGAAGGTTGGTTAGTACGAAACAATATCCAAAGTCTATAGTCCAACGGTATGTACCGGGTAAGCTTATCTGGACTGCTAACGCTGACTCTCTCTCTGACGCTCTCTCACTCTCTCTCCAGAGCTGACTTATATAAGAGGGACCAGTCCATTACTAGCTAGAAGGTGGGTGCGCCCCAACAATTTTATTTTTATTTTTTAAAAATAATTTTTTTTTTAAAATTAACAATTATTTTTTCAAATACTTTTTATTTAATTTTTAGTTTTTATTTACTTTTTTATTTTTGTTTACCTATTTCCAGGGTCTCTAATAATGATCTTCGCACTTTGTGTAAACAATTACAGAACCAAACTACTAATATCTTGTTGGGAAATTCAGTTTACACACATGTAGCATCTTTTGGTAATACATCAGTTACAGATGTTGGTGATTGGGTGCCAATTTTGGGAGTGAATAGGCGGCCTGAGCTTTTGGTAAGTATTTCTTTTTTTGCTTTATTTACTTATATCCCATCAAGCTTCAGCCTGCTACTGGTAACCTGTAACCAAGTACAACCTGCCACCTGAACTCATGGTTGGTGCCTAAACCAGCTACCCCACCAGCTTTTCTGCTCGTCAGGAGGGTGGCATATCACCTTGCAGCATATCTTAACGTAAACAAATGTCGTCATATATTATGAAATGGACTAAGTCCGACAATTATTTTATATCTATTGTTTATACATTATTTATATAGATACAAATATTTAAGTAAACTCTGTTTATAATAAACAGTATTAACAACATTTACTGGCTTAAATTTCTATTAATTTTCTCGGACATTCAGGCCAGTAAATGTTGTTAATAATGTTTATTATAAACAAATGATATATTAAAATAATTGTCGGACTTAGTCTATCTTAGAACATAACATGGTAAATAATAATTTTATTGGTAACTGAGACTCTATTGAGTGAGATGCACATAACCCCAGGACGATGGTATTGGACATCATCTCTAAATGAGACTCCCATAAGTCTAGTAGTGGGGGATGGGATACCAGCCATTGTCCTGATGAAATGTGCTCCTGAATTGGTTCCTCTCCTCTCTTGCTTTTCAGCCTGTTGGAAGTCCTCATCTGTTGTGCCTGTCTTTACAAACTCTGGTGACCCTTTTGACATGTCCTATCAGTCTCCTACCACTCTTTGGTAAAGTCTTTGAGGCTTTAGTCAATGCTGAAGTGGTTAAGGACCTTGCTTCACATAATCTGCTTTCCGACAAGCAATATGGCTTCTGCTTTGCCTGATCTACTGCTGATGTGCTCATGGCTATAACTGAAATTGTATACCAAGCACTTCACAATAATGGAGAAGCTTGAGCCATGGCTCTAGATATCCCTAAAATGTTTGATAGGGTTTGGCATGCTGGCCTTCTTCGTAAGCTTCAGGGATATGGTATTATAGGACAATTATTTAACTTAATAGAATCATTCTTGTAAGACCATGAGATGAAGGTCATCCTAAACGGGTTCTCCTCTGACTCCTTTATCACAAATGCTGATGTTCCCCAAGGCTCCATCTTGGGCCCTACACTGTTCCTGATCTTCATCAATGACCTTTCCAATGTCATCAGTTCCCAAGTTGGCATCTACGCGGACTACACCACTATTTACTCCTGCTTCAATATTAAATCTGGTATCGTTGACAAAACTAACCTGGATGTTGATCTCGAAAAGCCCCTCCAATCTGTGGTTGAATAGGGCATGATATGGCTTGTAAACTTTAATGCCTTCAAAACAAAACTGCTCTCCTCTACCCACCACAGAGAACCCTCCCTGCCTCCCATCAGAATGACTGATTCCCAACTCCTTGAGAGAGTGCCTCGTTACGCTTGCTTGGTCTCACGCTGTCCACTGCCGACATGTGGTGAAATAAATACATTGAATCAATAGCTTCATCTACCGCAAGGAAAGTTGGCTCTCTGTGTCATGCCAGAAAGTTTTTCTTGTTTGAGTCCATCCTTCAAATCTATAAATCAACCATCCGTCCTTGCATGGAATATTGCTGTCATATATAGTCTGGTGCTTCTACTGTATGTCTTGAGGTCTTGGAGAAAATCCAGAGATGAATATACAAGATGATAGGTCCTGATCTGGCATCTAGTCTACAATCACTATCTCACAGACATGCCATGGCCTTCCTCTGTCTCTTCTACAAATATTTTTCACAGCAACTGTTCTGATGAGCTACTTTTGTTGCTTCCCAGACTACATGAATTTAAATGAGCTACCAGGCTGTCATCTCGGTCCCACCCATTTACTGTCAAAATGGTTCTTCTTCATGAACAGCTTCTTCACCCACACTTCCTGTCTATGGAACTCTTTTCCCCTTACTTGCTTCCCTGATGACTATAATCTTCAAATATTCAAGTGTAATGTCAATCAACATCTGACACCCTGAGCTTGTTTCTCATCCTTCTCTGTATCCTTTTCTCAAACAGACCTCTTTACTTTTGTTCTCAATCCCGTGTAGCCCCTTGCGTGCTAGTGACACTCCTGCCTTGCTTGGGGTGAATTGACTTAAAAAAAAATACCTATTTATTAACCTCGATTTAGCTGTGTTCTGTGAGATTCAAAACCAGTTAGCTAGATCATTTTTCATTTTTTTTTTCTTTTAATTGTTATCTTGTGTGTGTGTGCTAATATTAAAAATAAATTTTCTGTTTATGGTGGTTATATATATATATATATATATATATATATATATATAAGTGAACATTGAAGTCAACACTCATAGGTGACAGGCTGTTTCATGCTAGACGCAATTGTCTAAAGGAGGATATTTTGATGAGAGCAAAATTTAATCATAAAATGCCTTTTTTTTCTTTTTATTTCTAATAAAAAATCATGTCTCACTTTTTTTTTAACCATGTATAATAATGTTCTCTTATTTAAAGTACAAAACAACTACTTTTTAGGCCAATTTTTCAAAATTACCATTAGTGTCCTCAAACTTATATATAGTCATCCGCAGACAGATTTCAGTGTGGCTAGACATCTGACTGCTTCAAGCCAGGATCGAAACCTGACCAATTTGGCATTAGTCAGAGATCCTACCCCCAGGCTATTGTCACATGACAAAGGAAGGGAAATTTTAATACGAAATCAACCAGTAGCTGAATAGCAATGCATTAAAAACAGTAGGAGCCACTGTTCTTAAAATTACCCTTTTCTCCAGAGAGCTCAACTGGATTTCCCGAGGAGATATATATATATATAGAGTCATCCACAGGCAGACTACATCTTTATTAACCAATTTATCAGCATAGAATTCACTATCAATGGATATATATATATTACTTTAAACATTATTATAGTGAACACTTCATATTTGCAAAAGACACACCATTTTTATTTATTATACACTGTGCGTTACATCTATCTACCTGCCCTGTGTATTTGAGAAATCTTAATAACGGAAAATAAGCTCTCTGGTATGGATCAAACCTACATCCCCCTCTGTAGCGAAAACCACCATTTGATCTGGCATGCTTTATCACTCGGTCACGAAGGACTTCAAAGAGTAAGCAAGGCTCTGTTTTCCCTTTTTAAGGAAAGCACATCTCCTTTCACTCAGGTTATTTTTCTTGAAAGCCCATATCTGCTTGGTTTTGTATCTGAAGCATAAAAATTTCTAAAGAATAATGGATTTATTTTGAATCCAATATCTTTATTACGTTGTCCAATATCGTTTTGAAACACCTGTTTCCTATACAATCACCAAAATTAAACAACATTGAGCCTGGAATACCAGGTACTGTAAGCTTGGATATGCAGGTGGTGTAATGGATAATGTTTCGGAATTGTTAATTGGAGAGCCAAGTTCCAATTCCAGGTTCATCATTGTTGTAACCTAAGGAAGGTTACTGAATAGAAATAATTACACAAAAGGTTGACAATGAACGATAATACTTAGGACAAGAACAACACATATAAGATTTGCCAGCAGCACATAGAAGAAGTAGCCAACTGCTAGAAATGAGTCGAGTGAATTCCTCAATGATTCTCCAACTGCAGGCAGTATCTGCCAACTACCCCACACAGTCAGATGTGGCAAGAGGCTGAATTTAAAGTATGGTTCCTGAGCATGTAGGCTTGGCCAAAAATTCCCCATAGACCTTGTATAAAAACTGGGTCAGATAGGTGCTTCCCAAGACAAGACTCTGCCCTTCGACATAGCCCCATCTGAGGATGCTCTGAGAGAGCTTAACCAACCCAGCTGAAGATGAATCTCCACCTGCAATCTGCAGACCCCCACATACAGTATTCACTACTGTATTTATGGGAATGGGGGGATACCCATTATTGTCCATAGGTATGCTACAACAATTATATTACCCTTGGGAAAGATATGAATCCACCTCTTCTTCTCCCACCTATGGGTTAATTAGTAAGACTTGTATCACTAAAACATAATCGCCAAAAAAAAAATTGCATACAAAATATTTAGATTTCAGCATTAAATAACCCATAGAGGTGTTGATATGCCACTAAACAAAAACAACCAAACCACTATAATTACATTTGAAGTTATAAAAATGTTTTTTAATATTAAAGTATATAATAATTATTTTTATTTTATTTGTTTTCTGTTTCATTAGCCTTTTGAAGACAGATATTGTTCATTGGCACTCGGGTTACAAATTCAGGTCATATTTGCACAAGTTGGCTCAATCAGTAATCCTCAATCAAAGATTCTTGGAGTTGCATATAACTTTGAACAAAGGAGAAAAATTTACCCACAGGTATGTATTCTTGTTTTTTTAATGACCATCATTTTGAAAATGAAATTTTCAGGTGATATTTCCATTTGGAGAGCTGAAGCTGAGTCCTTAAAATATTCTCCTGCAGGACTTGAATAACACGGCCAATATTCACCTGGTATGGAATATCTCTTGAAAGCATCCACAGCTTTAAGAAAAACTTTAAGGCAAATAACGTTTCTCTTTTTCTTATTCTATCACACTGAGTAACCCCTTAGTGGCTTTACTACCTTGCTTGGGGTGAAATGATTAAAAACAAATGAAAAGATGAATATTATAGAACCAGGAATCTTTAAAAATTTATATCTGATTTAGTGTAGTTAAAAAAGTAGTAAGGATAAAAAAAAAGAAACGTTTTTGATTTGTCAGTGGTCAAGATGGTCAAAATTTGCTTCTGGATCAGGGCTTACCAATCCTAGGGTGGGAGATTGAACTTCATGGATTGCAACAAAGTGGATCTGTGTCCTTCATTTATCACTAAATCAGCTGCCAATGTACTTTGAGAGGATCAGAGGATAGCTTGCCACTGCTAACTTGATGCTGCCTATAATACCCATTAAAAAATTATCATTCAACACATCTAAACCCACTCCATAAATACCAGCTCTTAATATTTAACTCACCACAACCCACCCCATGTATACTCTGCCATAATATGTGATGTCATCATCACAAAAACACTGGAAAGTCACACCAACAGTGAGATTTTGACCATGAAGAGACTTTTATAGAGTGAGTTTGAACATGTTGAAGGCTGAAGAGTTAAATATACGATTCAGTCAGTTACATGCCATGCATGATACATGCTTAGGCGATCATGTATCTTTTGATACATGACTGACAAGGCAGATTTTTTTCCTGCAGTAGATTGCTATTTCTTTCTGCGGTAAAACAGTTGCTATCCAAGGCTATAGAACCCAGTCTGTCCTGATATTTACTCATAGCTAAGAGGATTCATACCTTTCACAAGGGTATTAGCATGTAAGTGAATGTAATTGATTTGACTGGAATTTGAACTCAGCTCACCAATTCCTCAGTCCGAGATGCTATCCACTACTCTACCGTACATGTGCAAAAAATAGATTTTTGGATTTGAAAAACATTGATGTTTCATAGCTTGAGGAAGGTCAAAAGAATGCTAATGTACAAAAATGATTTCCAAAAAGATTTTCACCTATTTCTTATGAGTGAATCACTCAATCTTTGGGTTATCTCTTGTCTATAGAGAAATCTTTTCATGCAAAAAAAAAAAAAGATTCCCTGAAAAACTGTAAAAGGCATTTGGGGGCGGGGGATTCAGACATTTACAGCTTAAACCTTCCATACTATGTCCACAGCATTAAACCACCTCCATTTCCTTTGGCTTGTATTTCAATAAGTCGTCCTAAATTAGGTTCGACGTACAAAACATTAGGAACTTGGAAATAAGAGTTAATGACACAGCAATCTAGTTGTGATGGTTGGTACTTCAATGTCCGATATCGTCTGACTCGCTCAACACCACTGAGCCAAACTGGCGACCGCTACTACTACTTATTATCTGTGGGAGAGTCCATTACAATAGAATAGGTACTATAACAGAAACAAACTCCAGTGTGGTTTGCTTTCTTGAATGCTACAATCTTAACCTCTTCAGGTGAAGGGTCAATCATTATCTATCCTCTATATCCTCATAATCTTCACTTCTTACTCCTACATTCATATCACCCACATGCCTCATTCAATAACCCTCTACCTTGAGTTGCTCTTGAGCCTTGTATTGTAGGAAGATTGGTAAAAATTAGTTAAAAAAATAAATGGTTTCTAGGATGATGGCATTATGAAGTTGAAAAAAAATTGTTAATATTTTGTTCAGGAAAGTTAATCGTGAAATGAAAAAACCTAGGGGCATTGAGAAAATCCTGGTAGTGTAGAGGGGCAGGGCTTAAAAAAGTGGGCAGCCAGAGGAAGGCAATGGCACATCAGAACCTATAACATAGACCACACGCCCATTGTATCCGAAGTGTGTCTTGTCTTCACTTTACAGTATATCTCATTTATATAACAATTCTAATGGGAAATACTAAGGTACTCATTTGACATGCAGTACTTGTACCAAGAAAGTCCAATTAAACGTTGACTCTATATGGAGTGCGGGGAGGGTACATAAGAGGGGGCAGTAATCCCAAAAAATGTTTGGGAACAACTGGTCTAACCCAATTCTATTTTTTTTTAAGATTAGGCTGTCAATTTTCTTTCATAAGGGATCCTCCTTCTTCAGGACATCGTCGATCATGGCTCTCTACAACTTCCTGTCTCTTGTAGCTCTTAATTAATTTTGCCTTTCTGTTATTTCTCCTAAACCTTGTTCAACCGTCCATTTACTCACTCACTATGTATGTTATGAGTTGCTTTCATCTTTAATCTGTCCTGTGAGTATCAAATTTTCCAAGCCCTCTTTCTTCATTATGTGCCCTAGAAATTTCAACTGTCTCTTCCTGATGTTAAGTATAAGTTTACTTTTTGTTTCCATTTTCTCTAAAAACTTTGTCATTGCTCACATATTTGGTCCATCATCCTTCTGTAGAACCACAATTCTGCTGTTTCAAGTCTCTTCTTCATCTTTGAGGAGATCGTCCAACACTGCCATAGAGGAGGACAGATATCACATAAGCATTTAGTACTCTTTTCCTTGTTTCTAGTGAAGTTTTTCTATTTCTTAATACACTATTTAGCTTTTGGAATTAATGAGAATTTAAATCATTGATACCAAAATTATGGTAAATAAATGAAAGTCAGGGATCAGTTTCACACTTAAAACAAGTTAGGAATTGATCCCCCACCCCCAAATTTAAAAATATTATTCAGGTGTGTTCAATTGTTCTGTTTCTGTTTGTTTCAGTGTTTGGGTCACTTTTGCCAAGGGACTTCATTTCATCTCCTGGAGCTTGTTGGTTCTGTAACATATGTTGATGCCTCCCAGCCAGTGGTAGAAATCATTGCTGAACCGCCATCTTATAGATTTGGTGTCCCATTCGATTTCTTTTATCCATTTATAAGTAACAAAGCAGATAGACTTGTATTACCCAAAGTAACCAAAATTCTGACAATTTCTTTGACATTATTCTACTTGTTTACTGTTTTGTAAAGCTGTTGTGGCCTTGTTAGGGTCCGAAATAAAGACACAAGAGAGGACTTGAATTTAACAAATATATTAACAGAAACAGTAATACAAACATATACAAATGAGAGTGTTACAGCAAGAATGTGCGGTCCAACTGTCAGAGCTGACTGCTGGAAACTTCACCCTATAAAAGGCAATACCTGCTCCTATTTATAGCTGGAAGAGTCCATATGGGTAAATTGCCATAACAAAAACAGAACAAAAAATGTTTAATTTTTTTTAAGATGCTTGAAAGGAAAAGAATAAACAAAACAAACAATTAAAAGTAAACATAATCCCCCCACCAAAACTGTAAAAAGAAAGATAAAGTTTTCTCAAACCACCCTCACTCCCACCAACCTTGCCTTCATTCAACCATACTGTTTGATGATAAACTACATCTGGCAGCAAAGCCTCTGATTGGGAGATTGGAGGTTTTGACAAGCATAGAACCACCTTTTAATTGTTGTTGTTCTTGGGTTCACCCTAACACATGTGGTACCAGCAGTCAGGGTCCCAGCAGAGGTCAAAACACTATGAAAGTATGAAAATGCTTTTTTGTTGTAGAATTGCCAACAATACATCTTTGTAAAAGAAATTACTAATACTCCCCCCAAAATTAAATTTTGGTATTAAATGACCCCTAAGGAGTTGATATGCCACTAAATAAACAGTTTATCAGGATATAGGCTTTCTGTTCAGTACCAGAAAAAGTAAATAAAATTTATCTGTATTAACTAATGTTCTCATCAGGGTTGTTATCACAACATTTCAGCGATTACACCCTCCAACCTTCTTCAGGAGTTTATCGATCTGGGAAGCCTTTAGTTAATTTTGAACTGAACTCTTTATTTAATCTATAGAGTTAGAATGTTCTCATTTCACTATACATGTCTAGGAATATCTCATCTTATTTTTATTTAGTACTGATCAGTTATTGGTAATCCCATTTCCACCAAGTCTATATCTGCACTAAAGTTTACATTCAATCTAAACTGATGTTTTCATCAAATATTTTGTACAGAATAAACTCGTGTGATGAAAAGTTTAGAATTTTTTGGAATTTGTACTTTAATCAATTTTATACAAATTGTCTATTTTTCATGAATAAAAAGAAATATTTATGTAAATTATGAATAAATAAAATGTATATAAGAAAAGCGATTTTTGTTTTATTTGTCCAAATTTCATTAACTAATTCATATATCAATACATACAAATATATATAAATGTGCACACACCCCAGTCAGTCATCCAAGAGTTTCCAACACCCGAAGTGACTGCTTTAATCCAGAGCTACCCTCTCCCACGTTGTGATTTTTAGATCATAAGGCAGCCAAGATCAAATCATCACAGGTATTTCCATGTTGGGCTGGTCCAAGCTGGGCGATAACATACAGGGAAAAAAAAATAACACTCAAATAAATTGAACAAAAGTAAATACTAATTTTATAACAGTCTCCATACAATAATTGGCTTATATCAATTGTTTGCATGTAATTACTTATCAGTCCATCCTGCATCTAAGTCGGAAGTGATACTATCGTCAACCTGGTACAAATCTGGTTTGCTGTTTTGGTAAAGTTTGCCACAAGGCTGAAGTTAAAGTTTCTCTTCGGCAGGCAATCATGTGGCCTCTCTTCTGTCTCGTCTGAAAATTGAAAAGAGAAAAGGTGTGAGTGAAAAGTGAAGAACGTCAAATATAAATAATCACGACAACCTACACATCCGATCACACAGGTAAACGCAGACACCCAACATATATATTATAAAAAAAAATGCACCAATGATGAGCTGTATAAGCAGTCAATTGTTGCTGATATTTAAGACGGACAGGTCCACTACGAAACTCTGAGGTTGGTATGCTAAAGGTAACATCAATTAGATTAGCTAAGTGACGAATGCAAATTTTCTTAAATATGTATAAGCTCGTCCACAGCGGGCAATGTAAATTTCATAACGACGTGTCAGTACGTCCACGGCAGGCAATGCACATTCCATAAAAACATGACTATGTCTTCGGCAAGCAATACAGATTTCAAAAAGATGTTTAAGTACATCCACAGCATCAATACAAATTTTGTAAAGACGTATAGATATGTCGTTGCAGGCAATGCAAATTTCGTAAAGGCGTAGAGATATGTCCTTGCAGGCAATGCAAATTTCGTAAAGACGTATAGATATGTTGTTGCAGGCAATGCAAATTTCGTGAAGACGTAGAGATATGTCCTTGCAGGCAATGCAAATTTCATAAATACGCATGAGGACGTCCAGGGCAGGCAATGCAAATTTCGTCAAGACATATAAGTATTCCACCGTAGACAATGCAAATTTCATAGAGACGTCCTCGGCAGACAATAGAATTTAAAGAAGACGTATCAGTTCGTCCAGAGCAGGCAATGCAAATTACATAAAGACGTATAATTACGTTTACAGCAGGCAATGCGAATTTCGTATAGACTCTTAAGTACGTCCTAGGCAGGCAATGCATATTTCATAAACTCGTATAAGTACGTCCACCGAAGGAATGGAAATTTCGTAAAGTCATATAGTACATCCTTGATAGGCAATGCAAATTTTGTGAAGACGTATAAGTACGTCCTAGGCAGGCAGTAGAAATTTCATAAAGACTTATGAATGTGTCCACGGCAGGCTATGCAAATTTCGTAAAGACGTATAAGTACGTCCAGAGCAGGCTATGCAAATTTCGTAAAGACGTATATGTACGTCAACAGCAGGCTATGCAAATATCGTAAAGACGTATAAGTACGTCCACAGTAGGCTATGCAAATTTCGTAAAGACGTATAAGTTTCTTATCGGTAGTAAATACAACATTCATAGAAACTTCGTCCACGATATGCAATGCAAATTTCATGGAGACGTTTAAGTGTGTCCACAGCAGGCAATGCAAATTTCATGATGACGTATAAGTACGTCCGCATTAGCAATGAAAATGTCATGCAGACGTCTAAATATATCTACAGAAAGCAATGCAAATTTCTTTAAGTAGGCTCATAGTAGGCAAAGAACATTTCCAAAAGTCATATAAGTACGTCCGCTGTATGTAATGCAAATTTCGTAAAGACATGTAAGTACGTCCACGGCAAGCAATGCAAAATTCATAAATTCGTATCAGTACGTCCTAGGCGGCAATGCGAATTTTATAAAGACGTATAAGTACGTCTACAGCAGTCAATGCAAATTCATAAAGACATGAGTACGCCATCGGCAGGCAATGCAAATTTCATATAGACGTCCTTGGCAGGCAGTGAGAATTTCATGAAGACATATAAATACATTTGAGCTATAAGTACGTTCACAGTAGGCAGTGTAAATGTCCAGAATACCTATTAGCACGTCTCCAGACGGCTATGCAAAGTTTGTAAAGACGTATAAGTATGTCCGTGACTGCCAATGCAAATGTCATGAATACATATAATTGCATCCATAGCAGGCAATGGAAATTTCGTAAAGACGTATAAGTACGTCCACAACAAGCAATACAAATTTCATAAAAACGTAGAAGTACCTCCACAGCAAGCAATGGAAATTTCGTTATAGTCGTATAAGCGCTTTCACGGCAGACAATGCAAATTTTGTGAAGACAGTTTAAGTGTGTTCACATCAGGCAATGCAAATTTCATAAATAGGTCTAAGTACGTCCTCGGCTGGTAATTCAAATTTCATAAAGACAGGCAATGCAAATTTCGTAAAGACGTTTAAATGTGATCACTGCAGACAATGCAAAGTTCATAAAATTATAGATGTATGCCTACAGCAGGCAGTGCAAAATTCATAAAGACTTATAAGCACGTCCACCAAAGGCATTCAAATTTTATAAAGTCCTATAAGTACATCCTTGGCAGGCAATGCAAATTTCGTAAAAACGTATAAGTACGTCCTAGACAGGAATTGAAAAATTCATGATGACGTATAAGTACATCCATAGTAGGCTATGCACATTTCATAAAGACTTATAAGCACGTTCACAGTAAGCAATGCATATTTCATGAAGATATATAAGCCGCCCTCAGAAGGCTATGCATATTTCATGAAGACATATAAATACGTCCACTGCAGGCTATGCACATTTGATAGAGACGTATAAGTACGTCCACAGCAACTAATGCATATTTCATAAAGACGTATAAATACGTCCACAGCAACCAATGCATATTTCATAAAGACGTATAAGTACGTCCACGGAATTCAATGCAGATTTTGTAAAGATGTATTATTACGTCCACAACTGGTCAATGTAGATTTTGTTAAAACGTCTATGTAGTTAAACAGAAAACGTGATACCTAATGTTTAAAATTAATATTTAAAATGAAAAATCATTCTTGAAGCTTTTATTATAGTTTTAATTTCAAGCTAATAAATTAAATTTAATATTTCTAATAAGCAAAATACATTGCTGCATTTCAAAAACTAATTTAAATTAACAGGGAGTATTTTTTTTTAGTTAAAATAACTGATAGCGCCCTTTTTTAGTCAGCTTTCATCGCAATGTCATTCTCTTTAATAAAACATCTTCCAGGAATAAAATATACTTCTGTAAAACTTTTGTCTAATTTAAAGTTTAATTAATCTGATTTGAAAGAAATATTATTTACTTTAAGTTTAAAATATGACAGAAATGCATTTTTTAAAACCCGATACTAGCTGCTTATTAATCTTGTGATGTTGACAACTTGAATGACAAATGGAAGTTTATCTTATGTTTATCTACGATCGTTATATTATTCTCTGTTATCTAATGTTTTATTTAATTTTAGATATTTTGGCTTTATCACTCATATTTTCTGATATTGCGTATGAATTTTCTTATCTCCCAAAATTTATATATATATATATATATATATATATATATATATATATATATATATATATATATTATTATTTTTACACATACAAAAATATTCAAAATTCTTTTTAAAATATTGGTGTTTGATGGATTGTACTAAGCTTTTCAATTTACGATTAGTTAATATAGTTTTTACTTAATATCAATATCACTTAAAAAGGACAAAGTAATACAGAATTGTAAAAGATTTAATTTGTTTAATTAAAAATTTAAAAAATGAAAACAGTTCTTGTAAAAATTCATTATTCATCGTAAAAAAAAATTGTGTATCCAAAATATTGCTTCTCCAGAAACACAGTAGCATCTTCTGGCATCTCAAATTCTCGTTGGGAATTATTACAAGTAATACCTCTATCTCTTCCTCATTTTGAACACTGCTTGTTTGGTATACATTTGTTATAGTTTCTGTGTGGGCCACGTGTAAATATGCGTATTTAATTTTGTGAATGACTTAGCGGTATAAAACTCTCTCTACAAATAAAGTATGTTCGTCATTCCTGCTCTTTCAGCCATTACGTTCCGTCCGTGTATTAAGGTGTTATTATATCATAGATATAATACTGAACATAATGGGTAAAATATGTTATGGGGTCCTTCCCCTTTTCATATAAGTGGACTCTACCAGTGTTACTTTGAGTGCTGCCGTTAAATACCCAGAGTTAGACAGTCAGAGAGGGTAGTCGGAAAGAGAGAGACAGAATATACGAACGGAGATAGAGTGGGGTAACCTCTTGTAGAAGTCAGTTACAAGCACGTAGACTCTAAGGAAGTCCTACTTCGAGACTGTATATATCTATCTGTATTTGCTACTAACCGCGTTCCTGGATTTACTAACAGTATTACCCTTTGTATGATTGTGTAAATACATTTTATTTCTTATATTTAATTATTGCGTTTGTTCTTCATTGGAGTCCGAATTCATCTCGGAATCCACAACAAAATACAACTTGGGAGAATATTCCTTTTCTTCCATACCCCTTCCATTAACTGGTCTCCTCGACGTGATGTGATATTAACGCCTATTAACGTTTTAGCCAATGCCTTTTTATAGGTTTTCTTCAATAGCGTTTTTTTATGCAATTTTTCCATTAAATTCTTGTCAGTTCAATGTTATGCAAATTGTTGCCCTTTCTACATTTGTTGCAGCGTTCTCGATATCTGTTTGGACATCTCTTACGCACACTTTTGGTTTGATTGAAAGTTTATAAAATATTTAATTCCGTACCAAATCTAAATTCTTGTTTTAAACACAAAAACCTAGTTAATAGGAATAGAAAGGGAAAAGAGAACACGTTCTTCTCTTCTCCTTGGGGTCAAAATAGGCGCAAATAACAAAATAAGATTCAACCACTGCGTAAAATTTTAAAGGAAAAACATTTATTACAAAATTAGCCCTAATCTGGCATCTCGTCTGCAGTTACTCTCTCACAGACGTGCCGTTGCCTCCCTCTGTCTTTTTTACAAATACTTTCACGGTAACTGCTCCGATGAGCTGCTTTCGCTGGTTCCCAGACTTCATGAATTTAAGCGTTCAACTAGGCTGGCATCTCGCTCTCACCCTTTCACTGTCAAAACTGTTAAATGTAGCCGTCTCTTCTACTCCAATAGCTTCATGTCTCGCACCTCTTGCCTGTGGAACTACCTCCCCTCTTCCTGTTTCCCTGATAGCTACAATCTCCAACTATTCAAATGTAATGTCAATCGACGTCTCCAGATGCCCTGATTTATCCCTTATCCTTCTCTTCATCCTTTCCTCTATCACTCCTCTTTAAATACTCAGTTATAATTGGATAGGAAATAAGTACTGTTTACTACAGGATAATTTATCTATCACGGTAACCACACAAAATTTTCTGCCATCATTTTGCCTAACTTGGTTTTGTAAAAAAAATCAGTGATTGGTCAATTTTTATCCAATCGTGTATTTTAGATATTCCTTTCGGTATTTTTCCCGCTTCTCTCTGGAGCCTACCCAAAATGTATTTAAACCATTCGTACTCAAGAAATAAGTTAGTAGAACAATAAATCAGTAGAACTCAGCAACGCACGCGTATCTACATTCTTCTACTCACGCACACACAGACACAGAACTACCATTACACTACACTGTTAACTGTCTGTCACAAGCCAAGTCACAAACCAAATTCTATTATCCTTTGTGTATAAACTTTTCATTCTTGAATTCAAATCTTATTCACTGAACTCTGAACATTTCAACAAGAAAGTTCTTAAGTGCATTATTCCTATCTTGCATCAGATATCAGTACAAGGGAAGCTACTTTTCTCTCAAGCTACTTCTTGCGGTACTCGTTGATTTTCAATATATATTTTATTGTTGAATGCAATTTGATCTCTTGTTCTTCTTCCCTTGTGTTTTTTGCAAATTTAAATGTATGTGCTCTCACTAAAAACGCAGCCTCACTAACAACCTCATTAACAATTTTAAAAACACATCTGAGCAGCACACCGCAGATAGAGAAAAGTTACACCCTAAAGGTTAAAATTGTTCTGGATATATATAAAATTATATATTGTTTTCTCATAGATAGACAGATAGATGGTGGGAAAAGTTATTTCCCTATCGTTCTTGATATATAAAAACTTATATACTGTTTTGTCATAGATAGATAGATAAAGATTTGGTTGATTGTTTGCTGACTCGTTTTTACGGCTTATCAAGCCTTTGCATGTTATTTAAAGCCAGAATATATTTTTTAGATTGTAAGAATTTTTTTGTATATAATTATTAGTTTAGTGATACAGGTTTTACTGATTAACCCATAGCTGGGGAGAAGAAGTAGATTCATACTTTTCACAAAGGTACTTGCACATAAGTGAATACAACCAACCCAACGGGAATTGGAACCCGGCTCTCCGATTAACAATTCCGTGCTATTACACCATCCGCACATCCAATCTTACAGCACCTGGTATTCCGAAGCGGTCACCCATCTAGGTACTGACCAGGCTCGACGTTGCTTAATCTCGGTGATCGCACAGGAACAGTTGTTTCAACTTGATGTGGCCGTAAGCCAGAAAGAGGAGGAAGAGAGAGTTAAACTTTATTACATTATAAAAAAATAAAAACAAATTATTTTTGCACAAGCATTGTTTTCAGACATAGGCAGAGTTACTTGTTTATTGCACTCCAATGCAGTTTCTCATTCATTAAGAATTTTTTAAATAATCTACAATTGTTTCGGTTTGATTATATACACACATCCATGCACGCACACTCGCGCGTGCACGTGAGCTTCATAAATTGGTCCATCGAAAGCCGAGCGAATCTTAAAAAAAAAAGGTCTGTCTTAGTTATCTGCCCCTGTTTCTGTTTTCGTTTCTCCTTTGTGTCGCCAGATGACACCTGCGTCGTTAAAGAGCGGGCGGCTTCTCTGAAATGCGATCGCACTTGTTTTCACTGCCAAAAAAACACACACCATCGTCAGACCCTTGGCCTTATTACTGAGCTTCATCTCTCATAATTAGACCTTGGTAAGTAAGATAATCAAAAACGTCAACAATAATCCGTTCTATGGAATCACTTGAATTTGTTCACATCTTTTGTGTTTTTGTCACGTCCACGAATTAATTTCCTTTCTTTTTTTGAAAAATCCTTATTTTCCTTTCGTTTTTATTTTCCTCATTAAATAAAATATTTGTATTTTTAGTTTTACTTATCGCCTCCCCACTTTTCTCTTCGTAATTCATGTGTTTTTACTTTGTTATTTAGTTCTGTTGAACCTTGTACCTTGCTTTATTTTAATTACAACATTAAATTATCGTTAGGATGGGAAGTAAACATGTTGCTTCTAAAATTGATTTATGATAAAAAGTTTTTTTTTATTCCTGCGTTTTTCTAACTTTTACTTTTATTTTAATTCTTAATTAATCTATTTTTGTTTACAATTTTTATCTTTTAAATATTGACTACGAATTATTTTTAATGTTTTGTAAATAATTACTTTGTTTTAAAATAAATTTAATCTTACTTGCCAATTTGAAGTCATTTTTAAACTTTATTATTACTGGCGATTAATTTGACTATGGAACAAAAAATTAACATAAAATTAAAGATATCTTTTTAATTAAAATATTACTTCATTAATTTCGATTTTCAGTTTTGTGCAGAAACAGTTTTTTCCCTTTTTATTGTTTATAATTTGTAATATTTCGTTCTATATAGCCATTTAAAAACAATAAGTTTATATTGTCCATTGTTCACATATTATTACAAATTAATAAATCAGTTGTTATATTTTAAAATAAAATATTCCTTTCCATTATTTTCAATTTTTCTCTTTCTGTCCAACAACAAAACATCACTTTTTTTGTAAATTGTGCTAATTAAATCTTTGTAGCAAATCCATTCTTACCGTCAATTTTTTTTAAATGTATTTTTTTAATCCTTTTTTTCTTTATGCAATTAATTTTACGACCATTATACTCAGATTTTGATTTAATTATTACATTTGTTTTATTTTTAAAATGTTTTTATATTTGATTCATTTCTTCATTCATTCATTGTTTTGATGATACTTTTTCTTTCTTTTTTTTTTTTTTTTTGAAGTCCTACTTATCACGGCTTTTCTTTTTTATCATACAAACTTTTTTGAGGAATTAAGTTATTACTCCTGTTAATTCACAGAATAAATTAAGGTTCTCGTTATTGATTATTAAATGAAAAAAACGCAAATCATTAATTATAACTCGGTTCAACGAGGGAAGCCAAAAAAAAAACTTTTTTCTTTTTCGCCATGAGGTATTATTTACGAAAACTATAAATCATTTCTGTTAGTGTTAATTTAAATTTATTAAGACAATAAGTAGCAATTACATTACAGCTCCTTATTAATATCTAGTAATTTTTCTATAGTCTTCCTTCACTCTTTTTATAAAATTTTTCGATCTTGTTGCAAAACATGAACTTTGTAATTTTCTTTTGCAAAAACGAAATAAAGAGATTTGCCATTTTTCCAAATTATTTCAAATGACAAGGCTCAGATTTAGTCCAGAAATTATATTTAATTTTAATTTAAGCTAAGCTTAAATCGCTTATGTTTCAGTTTAAGCTTACGTTTTTTTAATCCCAGCTTTATTAAGAATTTTTAAGAAGATTAAGAATGTCGCGAATCTCAAATTTCTCTTTGAAGAATCTTTAATAATGGAAAAAATTAATTTCACCTTTCTCAAGCATCAAACTTAAACATGATCAGGCTCAGCTAAAAACACACCTGATATTAATAAAAAAAAATACAATATTTTTACTTGAATTAAAATTCTTCTTGGCAATAGGAATGAAAGGAATTTGTGATCCGTTTTTTTTTTTTTTGTATTTTTTTCTCGATTTAATAACGCAACAACGGACAATTCGTTCATGTTATAACTTGTAACTAAAATTTAAAAATAAGACACGTGCAAAGAGGTAACAAAAATTCGACGTTAAATAAATTCAAATGTTTGTAACAATGTACAAGAAAAAGAAAGATTAAAAAATGGTCACCACTAACTGAGCTAGTAACAAAAATCATTTACGTTTTAAACCAAAACGTGTGAGTTCGATCATCGTCGAGTACCCCAGAGTTGTAGCCGTGTGTCAGATATTTTTTTAACTATAAGCAAGTATATTCAATAATTGTGTTTGTTGTACGTTTATTATTTTTGGATTTGACGTCTACTCCTTTGTAGAGTCACACCCACGTTTATCGATCTGTATGCTTATCGGTTCTTCTTGGTTTCTACGTCTATCGATCTCTCCCCGTTCTTTCTGTACATCTCCGAATTCTACGTCTATAGATCTGCCCCCTTGCCCCAAGTTTCTGCGCATCTCCCAGATCTACGTCTATCTATGTGCGTACTACATCTATTCTATGTCTATCGATCTGTCCCCGTTGCTTCTGTGCAAGCTCCTCTCTGTCCCCGTTGCTTCTGTGCACGCTCCTCTCTGTCCCCGTTGCTTCTGTGCACTCTCCCCTCTGTCCACGCTCCCCTCTGTCCCCGTCGTCTCTCTACACGCTCCCCTCTGTCCCCGTGGCTTCTCTGCAAGCTTCCCTCTGTCCCCGTGGCTTCTCTGCATGCTCCCCTCTGTCCCCGTGGCTTCTCTGCATGCTCCCCTCTGTCCCCGTGGCTTCTCTGCATGCTCCCCTCTGTCCCCGTGACTTCTCTGCAAGCTCCCCTCTGTCCCCGTGACTTCTCTGCAAGCTCCCCTCTGTCCCCGTGACTTCTCTGCAAGCTCCCCTCTGTCCCCGTGGCTTCTCTGCACGCTCCCCTCTGTCCCCGTTGCTTCTCTGCATGCTCCCCTCATGCGTCTATTGATCTGTGCATCCTCTACTCACACATTTATTGATCTACTCTCGTTATTTCAATACAACCACTGCTCCTATGTCTATTGATCTGTCCCCGTAGTTTTTATGCTCACTTCACTTCTACATCTATTGATCTGTCCCTGTCACGTTTGGCCACCTCCCCACTCTTCACTTATACATCTATTGATCTGCCCTTGTCATTTCTGCGACCCTTCCGCTTCTCTATCAAGCTGACCCTGTCATTTTTGTGTCCCCTCCACTTCTAGATCTATCAGTACTCATTTTTGTTTGCTGCAGACTTCTATGTCTATCGATCTCTCCCTAAGTTATCATTTCTGTATGCTCCCTCAGTCTGTCTTTATCATTTCTGTGTCACAGCCGACCACCTCATGTCTCTCTGACCCAATTGTTTGTGTCCCAATTTGCCTTGATATCTATATGTCCCTGGTGTTTCTGCATCCTGAACTGCCTCCACATCCATCGATCTGTACCCACTATGTTTGGGTCAACCACTCTCTCCTTCTGTTTTTTGAACTTATTCATTTCTCTTATTAAAGAGGATCACTTTCCACTAAATAATGCATAACTATCTATTCAATACTAAAGGAAGTCACTGTACCAAGGTTCCCAACCTGTTCCTGATGGAACGTTTTTTTTTTTTTCAATGTTCACTTCTCCCCAGTAAAAAAGAAAAAGTAACATCACATTTGATTATGTTTTAACCGCCTACATTCATTTAGGTGAACACATTGAAGTTGATAAATAAGCTTTAAACTCTGCACAAATGCAACTATAAAATTAAATTTTAATTAATCAAAATTATAAACAGTAAAATGGATCACAAATATAAGTATAAAATTCATTGACTTCTTTGCACCTGCTTTTTTGTTCATTATTTTATCAAAACATGCAACTTTCTTTGTGGGCCTGTGGATTTACATGATTCATAGATTTTGTCATTGACAAAAAGAGAAGTGAATCCAGAAATTAATTGGTTACAATAATATAGCATTTTTGGCAAATTTGGAACTTCATGTCAGCAAAAAAACAGCATCAAAAGTACGGTTTTCCCATTGATACTTCTATTATTTTTTAATTACCTTCACTCCTCAACAATATTTGTGATAAAAAGTGATGGTTAGAATTGGAATAAAACCTAAACATATGAAAATGAATTTATACATTTTCTTTGTTCTTGAGAATTGGCAATAAAAATATTAAACACTATTTATTTCTTAGATCGTTTTACAAGAATAATTTTATATTTAGAACATTCTAAAATCTAACACAATGCAATAATTATCATTTACCAATTTATAAAGAAATAAATATTAAAAAAAAATTTATTCATAAATTTATAAACATTTATTAAATTATTAAAATATATGAATTAATGATAAGAAAATCCTTATTATTAACCATTTTATAAAGTTTGAATCAATTGGCTGATGTTTTGCCAACCATTCAAATAAACAATATAATAAATAGTGTAAATAAACAATAATAAATAGTGTTTATTAATTTTGTTGCCAATTCTCAAAAACAAAGAAAATGTATAAAATCACTTTCATATGTTTTGGTTTGGGCACCTCTGCTTGAGACCATTATATTTCAAAGAGAACCTAAATTTAAATTTAAAGAAAGCATTTAAAATGTGTTTTGTTTTTTTTTATTATTATTATAAAATCCATGGCAGTACCTCGTCTGTACTTACTTTCAAGAATGAGACATGTTTTTCCACATAAGATACTTATAAAAGTTTTAGAATCTTATGTATAGGAAAAAATATGGAAAATTCAGTTTTATAATTTATCTTGAAAATTAATATGGAAAATTCAGTTTTATAATTTATCTTGAAAATTAATGGCGGTAAGGAATTTATGATTTGTTTTTTGTTTTTTTTTATTTATTTATTTTTGGTTTTTTTTTTGGTTTTTTACAGACTATGAACCTTTGCAAGTTATTTAAAGACAGGAAATGTTTTTAGATTATTTTATTTTTTTATTTATTTATTTTTTTTTTTTTTGAGATAATAATGATTTACTGATACAAGTTGTACTAATTAACCCATAGCTGAGGGTGGAGAAGAAGTGGATTCATTCAAGATTTAAGCTTACAAGTGAATATCACCAACCCAACTGGAATTGGAGCTTAACTCTCCAATTTCCAATCCCAAGCCATTATCCATTACATTATCTGTATATCTAAGCTTACAGCACCTGGTATTTCCAAGCAGTCACCCATCTAGATACTGACCAGGCTCAATGTTGCTGATCTTTGGAGATTGATATGGAATTTAAGTCAATCTTCCAGTTTCCTTCAAAATAAAGTCTGTGAAACAGTAAACTGTACATAAAAAAAAGGATGCATTCAGTCCATGGGTAATACTTTTTTTTTTTTTTTTTTTTTTTTTTTTTTTCTAAGCTTTTCACCCCAATCAAGGTGGGAGTGCCACTAGCACGCAAGGGGTTACAGAAAGTGGAGCAATAGTAAAGAGGAATGAAAGAGGAAAAGATGAAGAGAAGGACAGGGAATAGATCAAAACATTTGGAGATGTCAATTGACATTGCATTTGAATAGTTGGATATTATAGCTATCAGGAAGTGCAAGTAAGAAGAAAGGAGTTCCACAGACAGGAAGTGTGAGACATGAAGCTGTTGGAGTAAAAGAAACAGCTACATTTAACTGTTTTGACAGTGAAAGGGTGGGCCATGATGCCAACCTATTAACACGTTTAAGTTCATGCAGTCTGGAAACTAGCAAAAGTATTTCTAGAAAAGACAGAGGGAAGCAACGGCATGTCTGTGAGAGAGTAACTCTAAATGAGCTGCCAGATCAGGGCCAATCACATTGAATATCCGTATATATATATATATATATATATATATATATATATATATAGTGAACATTGAAGTCAACAATTAGAGGCAGGCAATGCTAGATGCAATTATCAGGCTGCAAGTGTTTTCCATTTTTTTTCTTGGCATTGGATATTCTATTACCGTGTTATTTTCTGGAAGTCGTTTATTTATTTATTTGGTTAAGTTTTTTGTTTGTCATTTTTATTTATTTTTATTTTTATTTCTTATTTTATATATTTATTTAATTTTATTTTAATCATTGTTTTATTAACATAGTAAAAATTTGTTTCTATCACTTATTTAATAGTTTTGTTTTGGTTTGGGAAGATAATAATTAAAGCTATTTATTCAATTTTGGGGTTGATTGCAGTAGTTTATTCTATTTTGGCGGGAGCAGTTTTTAATTTGTTTATTACTTCATTTATTTATTTGGATTGATTATCTTTACTTGGTTTTTCTAACAGTTAATTTATCAGGATCAGTTTGTTATTTTTTTATTTGGATTAATTTAGATTAATTTATGTATTTCTTGTCCTAATTCAATTCCCTATAGTGGACATACTACCTTTCCTTTTAGATGTTCATGTGATTATCACATCAAACAGTATTTTGTATGTTGTGTGTTGTGTGTGTTTGTGTGTGTGTGTGTGTGTGTTTTTATATATATATATATATATATATATATATATAATTTTATCATCCACTTTACTGTTGACTTGTATCATTTTTATTTTGTTTAGATGTCTGTCTATTCTATTTAGGATGGAAAACCCAGCTGAATTGGCATCAGTCAGAGTTTCTATTAAGTCATTTTGCACAGCAGAGATGAAGGTGAATTTAAGCATATTTACGTTTTAGATAAACACACAGTGACTGAGAGAACTTGATTCGCCATCAAGAGTCTTGCATTATTAGCAGTAATAGTCACTGTTTACAAACTCTGTCTTTTTCCTCCCTATATATAAATAATTGTGTGTGTGTGTGTAGATTCATTAAAAGTTCTTGACCACTTCCAAAAATCAGAATATCAGATTTTTTTTTTTTATTTCTTTATTTTTAAGGTTTAAAGAAACTTGAATTGATGTGCCAATGTGTTTAACTGTGGGATGATGTTATGCAATATCTACATTTTGTGGTTCTTGATCACCCATTTTAGTTGGGCTGAAAACTCTTCAGCCACCTCCCTCATCTGTGTGTGTGTGTGTGTGTGTGTGTGTGCATGCACATATAAAGCTTTTATGCATTCGTTAATGTTAAAGTTCTATGGATATATTTATTTCCGCCTTTCAGCTATTATTATCACTTTTATACTATTTACTTATTCCCTTAACACACTCTTTTTCCTTCCTCATCTCTTGCAATCTTTTCCATCCTTAACATTATTGAGATTTCCCTGTCAAAAAATATAACTGATTACAGCAGAGAAGAGCTGGGAATCATGCAGGTACTACACTCTGATCCTAGATAGAAAAGCCTAAAAGACATACATAGAAAGAAGCAGAATTTTAATATATTATTCTAAGTCCTTAGATCCTTCGATGTATCATGTCCTAAATGTAGAAGTGTATAATTCATAATATCATTGGAAATAAAATCAAAATGATGAACTAAACATTTCAAAGATTATCAAAAACCAAAATGGAATAAATATGGGTTTTTTTTTTTTATTTTTGTCATTTATTTTAACTAATAATTTCTTTTCTCTTATCTCAGCTCGTTATCTTTTGCCATCAATATTTTTGGTTTTTATTAATGACATTTTCTTCTTTAACTAATTTCCTTTTTTATTTTTAAGATTTTGTTCTCTGGTTACTATGGTGATGAACTGATTAAAGTTTTGCTTTTCTCTTTCATCAGTCTCTCTGACCTTTCCTTCCACCACTTGTGTGTGTCCCTCTCTTTTTCACTCCCTGTGTGTGTGTGTGTGTGTGTGTGTGTGTGTCTTATAATCACCCTACCTCTGTGTGTGTCATTCTCTAAATAATATTCCCTGTGTCATACTCTCTCTCTCTCTCTACCTCCCTGTGTGTGTGTCTCTCTCTCTTCATTTCATAAGAAATTGTGTGATTCATGTCTCTCTCTTTTTTTTGCAGAATGTGTGTGTGTGTGTCTCTCTTTTCATTTGCCGAAATGTGTGTGTGTGTTTCTCAAAATTTCTCTCCAATTTTGTGTTGCCTGTGTCTCTCTTTTCTTGGATTGTCATATGCCTTTTATCTTTTCTCCCCTTTTGTATGCCTGTGTCTCTCTTTCTCTCAAATTTGTGTATGCCTGTGTCTCGTTTCTCTTTTGAATGAAAAATTAATTATCCCCTTTGTGTATGCCTGTGTTGATTTCTTAAAAGAAAAAATGCCTGTGTCTCTTTCTCTCCCGTGTCATGCATGTGTAATCTCTTTTTCTCCCCTTTGTGCATGCCTGTGTCTCCTTTTTTTTTGTGTATGCCTGTGTCTCTCTTTCTCTCCCCTTTGTGTATGCCTGTGTCTCTCTTTCTCTCCCCTTTGTGTATGCCTGTGTCTCTCTTTCTCTCCCCTTTGTGTATGCCTGTGTCTCTCTTTCTCTCCCCTTTGTGTATGCCTGTGTCTCTCTTTCTCTCCCCTTTGTGTATGCCTGTGTCTCTCTATATTCTTTTCTACTCCATTGTGCATTGTGTATCTCTCTCTCTCTCCCTCTCTCTCTTTGCTACATCTTGTATTTGTCTATTCATTCTCACAGAAACGGCAACAGATACAGGAAGCAGAATGCCATCATTGGAAAGAGCAAGTTTTCAACTATAAAACATTTATTTTCTTCACATAGTCATTAACATTAGCTTTTACATTTCTGCCAGTGATAAACAGTACTTATATACTATGCTTATAATACATATTGTTGTTACCACTACTGAAACATTACTCACCAACCAGTTGTGCTCATATCCATTGTTTGGTTTCTGTAAATATTCAAGTGCTAATGGATACATTTTTTTCTGCTTGGAGGAATTGTGATTAACAACTTATTCATTTGCACTTTCATGTTGGATGTGTGTTTGTTTTAATTGCTATTTTCCACAAAGCCAAAAGAATCCTAGTTTATTAGGGGTGATGTTTCAATGTTTATACACACAATATATTTTCTGTTTATACGTTATTTTTATGGACACAACTTATTTGAGTAAATGATGCTCTGTTTTTAATTAAACAGTATTAACTCTATTTACTGGCCTGGATGTTTGAGAAATTTTGTAGAAAATAAGCAGTAATTTTAACTTTGCTAACCGGAACTTCTCCGTAGCTGAATGGTTAATGTCACATCAGGCTAAATGACAGTTTCCTTATGGAATATGGGTTCAATTCCTGTTGGAGAATGCATGCTTTCTGTCACTGAAAGTCATATGGTGAATAGCATCCACTTGTTCATCAGTCGTTGAGATTTTTGGATGACCTGACTGAGGGTCATCTTCTGTGCTATCCCTTCTCCGCTTGAATTGCACAGTTCACTTCTTCCCAGTTGCATAGGACTTTCTTTTTTTTTTTTTTTAGATTTGTCACACACCTCTCACCCTTGTATGGGCCTCACCTGCATGGAAATTAAAACAAAAATTTTAATTAGTTTTTCTAGTTGTATAAGGAGTGGTAGTGTGTTGCCACAACAAAAATGTTCAGCTATGGCTCTTCTTTCTGGGTGAGGCCTATAATTTTTTTGAATGACCCTCATATATATATACAGTAGCGGCCATAATATAAGGAACTGAAACAACAAAGACATAAATATGTGTATTACTTAAAAAGTAATACATGATTAGCAATTAATTTTTTACCGAATAAAGATTACGGTGTAATGCATAAATATTATACAAAGTTACAAAAATTTACATATTTTTTTTTTAAATAAAAATTCTAAACTCTTTCATTCAGCATTGTAGCATAGTGTCCCCTAATATATGCAGTTGCTACCAGACATTATTATGACATGAATTGTGTTAATGTTTAATGAAACACAAATGAAGATGTTCTAATGACCTCTTTTCCTTAGTGCCTTAACATAACTTTAAGCACACTAATAGATTGGCAACTAGGTCTCCTTGTTTTATTCTCCTGGGTATGACAATAAACTACATCTGGCAGCAAGGCCTCTGATTGGGAGGTTTTCAGAAGTATACAACAACCTCTTAATTATTGTTTCCAGACCTGCAGTGGTAGCACCTGTTCGGGTCCTAGCTATAGGCAAATTGTGAACACCAAACTGGGATGAAAACATGAAAATATAAAAATACATTAGAAAAAATTACTGACAATAAATTTAAAAAAAAAATTACCAAAGGTCACAAGAAAATAAAATTTTGGCATTTCATGACTCATAAGGACATTATTTACATTATTCAGACTATTGTCCTCATCTTTGTTGCCATGTTTATCACAACTTTTCAGTCGTTGTACACTCTGGCCTTCTTCAAATGGTTGGAATGTCGAACTGAACCCTTTAATTTGCATAAAACATATTCTGTTGGAATGCAAAATCATAACTAGAATAAGACAAAAATATCTCAATGGAAAAGGTTTAAAAGAAATTTTCAAAAATACAGACACAGAAAAAATATACAGTTTTCTCAAGGAAATAAAGATCCTCAATAAAATATAACCCTTTCAAATAGTGTATATGTATGTGTATATGTGTTTATAGACATATATATGCATGTATGAATGTAAATATTAAAATACACAATCAAAAACAGTCACAAGAAAAAGCAATCCCAAAAAATACAGAAGATTATGAAACCGGACAGCCTTTCAACCTTTTATACAAAATAACCATCTTAAATTCATAAATTAATAAGGCTTCGGCATAAATTGACCCAAATAGGAGTTGACATGCTGTTAAATCCAACATCCATCCATCCTTTAATTTGCTCACTGGGGTAGACTGTTCTAGTTCCACGTGCCACGTTTAATGGATGTCAGTTATCTTCTGTTAGTTTCCCTCTGAAAGTTCTCCACTGCCTCAACCAGGTATTGAGCTCATACTCTTTGGGTTCTGTCACTGGATCTAACACCTTTATCCACTGTGCCATGTGTCCTTATGTGTACATAATACATCATCTCAGAAATATAGACAGAGACTCATAAGGAGTTGATATGCCATTAAACAAACCAAACTTGCTGTTTTACTGTAGAACTAGCTCGATGCAACCACCACTTCTATTCTTAGTTTCTTTTCTTGCACTTCCCACCTGTGAAATTCCCTTCCAAATTCTTGTTTCCCAGCAACAATCTTCAGTTAATGATTTTAGGACTACAGATCTGTTCTCTGAATTGCCTTAATAGAGAAACAAATTTTAATTTCCTTTGTAGTTAGTGTGCTCCCAGGCATGTATTTCAATGTTTCCTAAGAGATAACCTAATACCATTGAGAGAAAGAGATTGTTCTTGCGTCTTTGACTACTAGGGTTGTGTAGGGATCCCCAGCACAAAGTAATCCTGTCACTGTATCAATCTTTTTATTCATTGAGTCCTTCATTCATTTATTTTATTTATATAGTGTGAATAGACTAATACTTTGAGACAATTTATGTTAACTTCACAGTAATATTCTGTGGGGAGGGAAAAGACATGAGTTGATTTATTCTCCCTTTAGGTATGTTTTAAATAACAGGGCAGGCTAAGTTGTTCATCTTTTGTTGCAACCATTGTAGTAGGACTACTTTGAATTCAAAACTATATTGATGGCAATGAGGAAATATGTTTATTTTCATTCTCTTTCTAAATAATAATCGTGACTTACAGCTAGATCACGCTGAAACACTGGTTCTTGTACAATCATTGAAGCTAAGCAATGTTGAGCCTGGTCAGTACCTAGATAGGTGACCACTTGGGAAGACCAGATGCTGTAAGTAGGGATGTGTGGGTGGCGTAATGGCTCATAATTTGAAATCAGAGAGCCGAATTCCAGTTGGATTTGTCATATTCCCTTAAATGCAAATACCTTTGTAAAGGTATGAATCCACCTTTTCCCTCAGCTATGGGTTAAGTAGTAAGATTTGTATCAGTAAATCATTATTATCTCTCTCTCAAACAAATTCTTACACTCTAAAAATATTTTCTGGCTTTAAATAACCTGTAATGGGTTCATAAGCTTTAGAAAACATCCATCAATTAAATAATAATCCTGGCAATGTGCAATTAGCAGATGTTAAAGAACAAATGGAAGCTGTGGAGAGCCATGATTGCCTCTGTTCTGAAGTGACATAGCACTTGAGGAGCAGTCTTAATATATTGTAATTTTAGGTACTTAGTTTAAGCCTCTGATAACCACTTATGTTGGTTGCTAATTGAAAACTTGTGGTGAAAATATTCAGTGTCTATTGTTGTCAAAGGTTGGGTTACTTTCTCCAAATAAGAATGCTGAACAACAATGTAGAAACAAGGATCTTGCCGGAAAAAGCTTGCCAGCCAGAATTGTTCTCTTTCTTTTTTAGCTATTATTTATAACTGGCCTTCATACTTTCAATATTGCAACATCATTTTATCGGACGAAAGAAACCTTGTGCAAAATATGGCCAAGGAAAAGAGTGCTTAATTTTTCTATTTTTCTTTTTATTAAAAGCTATACCTTCCTTTCCAAAGACAATCTACAATGATACTCACAGAGTTCTAATATTTCATTTTCTGCGTTCTTATTTACTTGCCCTAATCTCAAGGGTGACATCTGTTGAGTGATTATTACTGTTGGTAGCATAGGGAGTTTAGTTATCATTGAGCGCTCTATTATTATAGCCTTATGCTACACTGAGTTAATACGTTAACTCCCAAGCCTCATTTCTCTTGTTGTCCCAACACTATATCATAATTGATTTTGGTTCAAGCGACTTTCTTTTAACATCCTTTCATATATGAGGCAAGGATATCATAGGTAGTATTTATTACCCACAACTCACCAGTGTCATTTTACAACCCAGAGTCCCACAGGATCCACCCATGTGCCGTTGAAAAATTCCCAATATACAAGTATTACATAGACACTCTCATTTTTTATATTCAAAAATATTTTATTTTTGTGGGGAGAAAAATGTGACAATCAATCATAGCATCCCACTGCCAATAATCGTCAAAAAGAAATTGGAAAACAACCAACTGAAAGGTTGTGTGGTTCTTGCAGACATACCACCACAACACTGCTGTAGGTTGTGTGGGAGCCAATGTGTTAAGCTCAGTAATTAGTTCACCTGTCCTTTTTTTTTTTTTTTTTTCTCTTTTTTCTCTTTTCATCCTGAGCAAGGCAATAAAGCCACTAAGATGCAAAGTGGTTACTGAGAGAGAGAGAATTAAAAAAAATGAAACCTGCTCTGGCCTTCTTCGGGTGTCTAATGATCTAGAGCAGAGTTTCCCAACCTATGGCCAATTTTGGCCATAGCAAATTTCAGGTGGGCCACTGGATTAATATATGGAACAAGGATTATTCAATGGTTCATAGAGCTTTTATTGACTACTTGTCCTTTAATTAATGAAATTAAATGTATGTAAATAATTTTAATATATTTAGATTATGAAAATTTACTAATTAACAACTTCTTTTAATACCTTTTTTTTTTTTTTTTTTTTTCTGACTGTAGAAAGAAAATGACACCATTTCAGTTTTGTGAAAATCTTGCTCATTACAGCTGTTCTACTTATTATTTGTGAATCTACTGGTATATTAATTTTCCAAACGTAATTGGATGTGGCACAAGGCCCAAAGTAAGGGGCACCCAGTGAGGATTGAACTCACTACTCAGTCATAATTGTTCTAGCAAGACAAGCTTGCTAACCATTAGACACTTCAAAGTGCCTTGTGAATCTACTGGTATATATTTATAAGTGGATATATCCATGAACTCAATGGATTATTAATATTTAATTAGTATTTTAATTATGTTCAACAAAAAAAATAATATACAAGAATCCCTTGATAAATGTGTTTTTGATTAGTGCACAAAAATCTTTACATACAAAAATTCAATTAGTACATACAGAATACAGAATAACTAGATTTGAAAATTGATTTTATGTAATTAAAAAATTTAAAAATGGAATTCTTCAGTTTAACCATAGTATTTGAAAATTGATTTTTATAGTTACCTAGTACTTGATTAATTAAAAAATTTAAAATGGGTAACTATTTTGTTTTATAAACTCTATTGTTAAAGGAATTATCTACAGCTAATTACAGTGGTGTATTAAAAAAAAATTTGGACAGTTATAAATGATAAATTTTTTATTAATGTTGTTGGGGACCCACCTTTTAAAAGTTATAATAAAATCTTGATTTATTTGAAAATAATGACCAGGAACTAGTAATGGACTGGTCCTCTTATATAATTGGCCTCGGTTATTATAATGTCGAATTTACTTTTATAAACTAATCAATCTTCCATGAATCTCTCACTAGGTACAGAGAATTCATAGGGCTTCTTGCTTTTTGCTGTTGTTTATAGCATATCAAATATAAACAAATGACACACACATTGATGAAATGGACAAAGTCCAACAATTAACTGAACTGAACCTTTGCATGGCCAAGAGGTAAGGCACATCAAGCTATATGAGAGTTCCAGTGAAGGCTCCATTCACAGGATACAGGTTCGAATCCTGTCAGAGGATGAATATTTTCTATGAAAATTTCTGGGACATTCAGGCGAAACTAAAAATGTTATTTAATACTGTTTATTATAAACAGAGCTTAAATATCAAATATCTAAAAAAGAATGTTAAAATAAAATGTCTTTTAAATAATTGTTGGACTTTGTCCATTTTCTATGAAAATTATATATATATATATATATATATATATATATATATATATATATATAGAATGTTAATAAAATTTAATAATTTGCTCTATATATTATATATATATATATATATTGAATACTCTATATTTTATCTTAGTTACTTAGCATATTAATACTCTAAATTCTATTTGTTACTTTTTTCTTTCGGCTGGAAATTTAAGGTACTGGACAACTTTTTCCACCCCGTTCGGATGTTTCTAGTTCTTTCTTTTTTTTTCCCCCATTTTTTTTGTTCAATTTGTTTTGATATACTGGCAAATTGTGCCAGGCTCAGTATATCTCACACAGTTTGCCCACTGTGTGGAGGGGTACTGAGCTTAATGGGCCAAAACTTTGCTGAAGCATGGCACTCAGCTGAAGATTGCAGCTGGGCTGGAGCACTTGATGTGTACATGTGTTATATATATATATATACACACACACACACATATTAGGAAAATCAGTGACAGTGAAAAATATTTTCTTGTGGTGTGTTTCATCCATTAGGATTTCATCAAACTAAAGTGATATTTATGCTGATGTAACTACACACAAAATGGAGGGGACACTGAAATTTTAAATCATTTTTTATTTTAAGCATGTGTTTGAGTATATAGTCTAGCCAAGTTAATTTATTTAATTTTATTATTAAATATCATACATTTACTGTAAAGTAAAGTAAAATGTAAGAAACTTGATGCAAATTTACTATTGGTAAACCACTTTCTAACACTTTGGTCTTAGTAAATTGCTTTCTCATTTAATTAAAGTAGCATTTCTTTTTAAATTAAAATTGTGGACAAACTCACTACACTGAGCAATTAAGGCATTGAGTGGTGTTTTGTAAAAGATAGAATAATATATTATCTCCATATATATATATATATATATATATATATATATGTGTGTGTGCATGCATGTTAGAGAGACTTACGTATTGATTTTGTTAAAGTTGTTTATATTGATTAAGTAAGTTTTTAAACTTTTTATGAGATTAGCATCATTTTTTTTGCATATTTGATGAAATCTACTGCAATCCAATAGAATCAAAAAAAAATTGTCGAGTACAGAGATGGGTGAGGGCAGTAAAATGGTTAATCAATGAAAAGCAAAGCTTTCTTTCTCTCTCTCTCTCATTTTAGTCTCTTGTCATTTGTTTGAATTTTCTTTCACTTTTTCAATATCCTTTGCAAAATAAAAAAAAAAGAAACAATCAAGCAGTTGTTTTTATCATCATAATTGCTGAAAAATATGTATATACTAGTAATATGCTAATGTTTTCAGCTGACATGAAATGGAAAGAATATATTGAATCAATTGCTAAGTCTGTTCACTTTGGTGTGCTAGACTTTTTTTATTGCTAGTATCTCTCTTACATATTTATAAGTCTACCATTCATCACTGCTTTGAATATTATTGGTCTAGTGCACCTGTTATATATATAGAAGAATCTGCAATATTATTGGTATTAACCTGGAATATCAGTTTCAGTCCCTTTCCCACCACTATAATGTAGTTTTCCCTGAGGCTTTTCTATAAATCCTTTCACGGTAATTGTTCTAATGAACCTAGACTTTATGAATTTAAGTGCAGTACTAGATTGGCAGCAAGGTCTCATCATTTTACAGTTGAAGTTCTTTGCTAACAGTTTCTTCTATTGCACTTATGGAACGCTTCTCCACCTTCTTGCTTCCCAGTCAACTTGGAACTTCAAAAATTTAAATGCAATGTGTTGTAACATACCTACAGATGATAATGGGTAAGCCCCCATTTCCATAAGTACAGTAGTGAATACAGTACATGGTCTAGAGTTGGAAATTCATTGTGGAATTGACTTGTCTCACTTCTAGCAGTTGACTACTTCTTCTATGTGCCACTGGCAAATCTTATATGTGTTGTTCTTGTCCTAAGTATTATTGTTCATTACCAACCTTCATTTGATTATTCTGTTCAGTAGCCTTCCCTAGGTTACAACACAATATCAATCGTCATCTGTCTTCTTAATTCTTATTCTTTTATTGTCTTCTCTCCTTAATAATAGTTTTTCTCATATTCTCTTACACTCAGTAACCTCTTGTGTCCTAGTGGCTTTATTTTCTTGCTTGGGGAGAAATGATTAAAAAAAAAAATAACAGATAGTTTCAAATAAAATACAGATAAAAATGTCCTTTTGCCATAATATTATTACCACTTTTACACCTTAACACATGAAAAAACATGTTACTACAAAAATGTTCTGATGCAAAAAACAAGAAATAATGTAGCTTCTGCATAGACAAAATTAATGCCGATTGGGTGCAGGTAAGAAAAGGTTGTTTTAGGAGAGAGCTATGGTAGAAAGATTTATTCTCTTGTTTTTATTTCCCCCATTATGAGAGTTGTTATATCTGTGATCTAATAATACCATAGTTCAGAGATGAAATGGAATGGCTGAAAGGAAAAAGAATGACAAACATACTTTGTTCTCAGAGAAACTTTTATACTACAAAAAAAAAATGCACAAAACTATATCTACATGTCTCATACGGAGAATAATATATCACATATATCTATGCAACAAAGCAGAGTGTAAAGAGAGGGTCTTAAATATGATATGGAGATGCTCCTGTGTCTGGAGAAGCCATGTTTAGGATTCCAGATTCAAATGTGCTGGATTCATCTATGTCCCAGGTAAGGACATATTTCACGAATGGGAAACAGCTATTCTTAGTTTTTCTGACTGTGAGCTGGAGTTTCTTTCTTTACCTGGGAAAGATTTCTGGGTAGTGTCTCCTGTTTTAGTTGAAGCCCCTGAAGAGAAACCCCAGGCAGCTCCAGAGAGTTGAAGACCTCTGCTGTGTTCTGGACTGACTTCAAAGTGTCCAGAACTCTATCAGTTGAATTGTACATGTGAAACTTGCCAGGAATCAGTTGCGGCATCTTCCAGTTTTTCTTTGATTTCATTGTTGTTTGAGAATGCCTTGCTCAAAAGTTACCAGTAGTTTCTGTAGTCTAACCATTTTTTTTTAATGGTTAAAAAGAATATGGTTTAATCCTGATTTTTAAGAATTATTCTGAAAACATTTAGGATAGCTTGCTTGTTTGCGAGAAAACAAAAAAGCTATTTTAATCCAAAATTAGTCTGGTGATTTTCTATGAACTTGAATGTCGGCACCATTTTTCCTATAATCGTTTTCTGAAAAATTGCCCTCACATTCCAATTTACCACCTTGCCATATTGGTTGGAGTCAAGAATATGCTAATTGCATTTCCGTGCAGGGGAGTAACTTCACAAAACACTGTGTATTTACTCTTTCGACTCTTTAGCATGTTCACAACAGTTCTGAACTTAAGCAGTGCTATTATTTCTATGACTAGCCTTTTTCCTCATCTTGTTTTATTTATTTACAACATTCCTGAGATGAGGAATTAATATTTATATTATTTACACGACTCCAACCATCATTCTCATTTTGGTTGCTACTTTCAAAGAGTCTCTGTGATGTCATTATTTGTGTCTAAACATAGATAAGCAAACTGATATATAATACAAAATTATCAACAGTAATAATGCAAAACTGTTAGAAAAATTATCTAAATTCATTCTATGACTAGGATAATTGATGATTAAGCCATGGCTAAAATTTGTGAGAAGTGTGTACAAAAACTGATTAATCAATAAATTTAAAGGATGACCCTGCATAGAAACCAAATTCGCTTTTCAGTTATTTCAGCAGAATTACTATGGTTGCATTAGAATTTTTCTTTTTTTTTTTTTATCATAACACCCCATGCAAGGCAGTAAAGTCACTAAGACACAAAGGGTTACAGAGTGTGAAAGAATAAGAAACATTATTAAGGAGAAAGAAGAATCAAGAAGACAGTAGATAATGATTGACATTGCATTTAAATTTTGAAGACCAAAGTTGAGTAGAAAGCATGGAGCCAGAAAAGTTCGACAAGTGAGAATTGCAAAAAAAGAAAGTGTTGGCATAGAACTTGCTATTAGATCAAGCCAATTCACCTGTGAATTGATGAGACCTTGCTGCCAATCAAAATAAATAAATAATTTAAATAAAGAACTGACATTTTTTTTATTTTCTTTAAATAGTATCCAAGACTTGCTGGCTTTGAAGAATTTATCCAATTCCAATGACAGTCAAGGTAAGAAAACTAATTTATAGCATAGTATTTACTTTCCTTCTTATTGAACTAGAACAAAAGAATGGTTTTCTGAAAAATATCAACCAAATTTGATTTCAATAATTTTCTTTTTTTCTTCTCCCTTTTTTTTTTCTTAAGACAGCTGCAAACATAGGATAAATATGAATGTTTTATAATTTCAAATTTTCATTTCATACCTTTCAAAGTTGCACTCTCTGCTTCTCATAGCCCAGTTATGATGGTGTAGGGGGTATGTATACATATCTATATGAATATAAATGTACAAGTGTGGGTGTATGAAGCTTACTCTGACACAATGCCCCATGTGTGGGTGACCTAATCAAACTCACTACAGTGAACATAATTCCCTTTTTTGTATTTGTGGTAGAAAAGTAAATATATAAGATCTGTTTATTGTTTTAGTTTTTTTTTTTTCACACACACACACACAAACAACCTGGGTTTTATAAGTATAACTCGATATGAGTTGTCCCCCTTTAATTCTTGTGACAGCAATGCCTCTTAATTGTGTTTTCAAATTGATTTCATGCAAAAAACAATTGTTTTTCAATTTTTTGTTATGTCAGAACCAATCTGAAGGTAATTTTATGTAGTCCTGTGAAGTTTTGTTGAAAAAAATTGAAAAAAAAATCCGATCCAATATATAAACGAACACACACACACTGGGTTTTATAATAAGTATGATAGATATATATATATATATATATATATATATATATATATATATATTGTTAATTTTTGTGGATGCACATGTCTGAGGAAACATCCTGTTTTTTTATGTCTGCCAGCCTGCACATTTGAGGAAGTTATTAAACAAAATGTGCTCTCTCTAAAACATGCTGGATCACAGTTTTTTTTTTTTTTTTTTTTTACTTCAAAGAAGAGCACATTGTTTTTATTACGTTTCTTGAATTTGCCGACCAGTAGAGGCCATTCACTTTTTTTTTTTTTTTTTTTTTTTTTTTTGCTTTTTTGTTGACGTCAACATGAACAGGAATAGATGCAACATTGGGTTTTGTTGTCCTGTCAGTAAAAAGCTTGGATTTAAAAATTTATTTTTTTGTTTTCCATTGTGCTCTTCAATTTTGAAAAGAGAAAATTCTGGGAATGTTTTCTAATATTCATGCCCATTGGCACACACATACATTGATGTGGTATTAATTTTCTTCTCTTCCAGATGGTGTTCCATAATGTGCTGGCTCAATCTCAACTGGGGTCAGGCCAGAGGGAAAACTGACCAACCCTTCCCTATCGTGGCCACACACTCTATGACCTTGCTGTGTGGCGTGTGTGGTAAGAAATTAGCATCACTGTTTGGCCTTATGGAACACAAACGCATTCACACGGGTGAGCGTCCGTATGTGTGTCAGGTTTGCCAAAAGCGGTTCACGCAGAAAGCTCACCTTGTCATCCACAAGCGGACACACACTGGGGAGAAGCCATATGCTTGTCACATCTGTCACAAAAGATTTGCACAGTCATCACATCTTAACAATCATAAACGTATCCACACTGGAGAAAAGCCTTACTTTTGCAACATGTGTAACCTTGGCTTTAGTCGCAAGCAGCGTCTAGAATTACACATTTTGCAGCATGCACAACAGCAGCAGCACACGACTAACAACAACAACAGCAGCAGCAGCAGCGGAAATAACAACAGCAGTGATCAAGCAAATGTTGATGATGTCAACAGTACCATTACAAGTAATGCCAAGTCGGTGTTTTCATCAGAAGCTGAGGCTGCATATTCCCGATCTCTACTGGATTCTTCTCAATCTCAGGTCAGTTTTGTCTTTTTCCTTTGCAGCCATAACATCTTATATTTCTTCGGTCTTTTTAAAATGTTTGTTTCTAAAGACACACAATACTAGTTCTGTCAGGAACGTATTAATGAAAAGAATGCCTACCTTTGTGACACTATGATTGGGACACTCACAGATGATGGTGTGTGATTTTATTTGGCCTTAAGTGTTTCATGTTTTGTGACCCACAATAAAGTGTGTGAAGCGGGGTCATCAAAAGCAACCAGCCACTTGACTAAATGAGAATAAAGTACTGTATGTTTTTTTAAAATATAAGACACACCAGTGTATGAGACCCATTCTTATTTTGAAGACACATTTGCTGTACATCCAATGAAATTTGAAATATCGATTACCAGAGTTAATTGCATTAATCCCTCTGATTGGTGATGTTCATTTCACATTTGAAATTCATACGATTGTTATAAAAACATTCAAGTGAATTAAACTATGCATTACTGTTTATATATACATAAATAATAATAGCTGGCCACTCGTATTCGAAGATACCTGTCTACCAGGACAGCTAGCCAATCCCTATTCAGATACTTGCTCAGTCACATTTGTGTTTGCTCAACACCCACAGAGCCCACCTGTGGTTTATACTGCAACTATGTTGAGCGGACCTTAGTTACAATTTCTGAGAGAGAGAACTTGTTATTTAGCATGATCAACAATTTGAACAAGGCCAATACGCTCAAGCCCTTGGCTGTAATGTCATGTGGCTTTGTGCTAGCACAGCTATTGACAGCCATCAAGAGTTTCGTCTACCCAATCTCACTCACAATGCTTGGGTCAACACATGGTTTGGTTTTCAGGCACTTTCCAATGTTGCCACACACTGGGATCGACCTCAGTCTTTGCTGATGATATCAGGAAGTTTCCTTGCTGACAAACCGACCCTGGTGAGATTCAAATCCAGCAAAGCAAACATTCTAACCATTCGATCACTTATATATATATATATATATATATATATATATATATATATATACACACACACACACGAATTGTGCATATCACACACATGCATTAGACTTCTCTCTATTAATTATCTGGGAGAACACTTTCTGCCTTCCATCATTGACGCTAACCTTCAAAAAAGTGACTCGTTGCAACTTCTCAGACTAACTTTTCAGCTGACATGAAGTAGAAAAAATATATTGAATCCATTGCTAGATCATCTGTTTAGAATGTTGGTTCACTGTGTCACATATGGTCCGGTGCCCCTCTGATTCACCTTGATAAGATCTAAGGAAGAATCAGCAATATTATTGTTCCTGATCTGGCAGCTTGGCTTCAGTCATTTTCGCATTGCTGTAAGGTTGGCTTCCTGTGCCTTTTCTATAAATACTTTTCATGGAAATTGTTCGGATGAGCTCTTCGCTATAATACCTAGACCTTTTGAATTTTAGTGCAGTACTAGTCTGGTATTGAGATCTCATCAATTTACATTTGAGCTGGCTAGACGTAGCCATAAGTTCTATGCTAACAGTTTCTTTTCTTACCTCTTACTTGTGGAACTCCCTTCAGGCTCTATGCTTTCCAGCCAATTTCAATCTGCAAAGATTTAAATGCAATGTTAATCACTATTTACTGTCTTCATGATTACTCTTTTCTCTTCCTGCTCATTAGTAATATTTCTGTTCCTAATTCTTCCACATCAAATTTCCCCTTATGTCTTAGGGGCTTTAGAACCTTGCCTGAGGTGAAATCGAAAAAAAAAAAAAAATTAATAACCTTGTAAAGGATGCAAGCAGATTTTGGCATTAAATTTTAAGGTAAACAAAGTGCATCTTATACACCAAAAAATGTGGTAATTTATAAATAAATGAAATTTTGGGGGATAAGTAACAACAAAATGGACATTAAAGACTTCCAATCACAGGGTTCTATTAATTCTCAGTTGGGATTGAGTTAGTACCAGGCTATGCCTTGCCAGATGAATGCTGTCCATTGACAGAGAGTTTCCAGCCATGTGTTACAATGTAAAGGTGTGCAGAGATGTGCTAAGAGAGAGAAATTCACTGGCTGAAGGGAAAGGCTTATTTGTTAGCCTGGGGTGGCAGAAGTTTTACAAAGAGTCACCAAACTACCTACCCATGTGGCGCAAGAGAATCCTTGAAATACACCATAAAATATATTTGACACAGGGTTCAAGTCTTCATTTCTCACCATGTTGTTTATTTTCATCTTTCAGTTCCTTCTGACTTTGCAACAGGCCTTTCCCCCAAGTTTTGGTGCACCCCAGTACAAACTAGCATAGAGATGCAACATGGGGTTTCATTGTCCAGTCAGTGAAAAGCCAGGAAAGGGCACTTTTTTGTTTTCATTTTAGGTCGCCTAAAAATACCCCCCCCAAAAAAAAAAAATCTTACATTTATCTCACCATCCCTTCTACATTGCAAAATAATTTGGGATTGCCATTAGATACCTCATCACAATTTCCTTAATCTCGTCCACATTGTTTTGGCAGCAATTTTAGTTTTTGGAGAAGACAGAACTTGCAGGGAACTAAATCTGGACTATAGGGGCCACTGAAAAACTTGGGTGCTTTTGGAGAAAAAAAATTATATTAAAGTGAAGAATCTACTTGCTGGGTCATTTGCAAATGTAATGGTCATGCAGTAACTAAGTTCAATGAATAATGTCTTGCTGTTGAGTAACCCCATGAGAGAGTGTCTGCTCATATATGCACAGTAAGATCCCCTATGGTTGGCTGTAAAACTCAATTCTTGTTGGACACATTCAGGACAGACTTAAAACTTTGGCAGTATCTGACAGGTCAGAATGCTAATCAATTGAAATATTTCCTACCCAGTTGATTACCCTTTTCTTTTTTCTATATTAAAAAAAGGCCAATTGTGCAGCAATCAAAATGTAATCATTTAATGTTTTTCAACCTATCTGGTTAAAAGGAAAGTTCTCAATATTTGTAGAACATTAATTTATTTAGAAACTGCGACAACTTTCCTTCCAACCAATTAAGTCAACTTTAAAAAATTGACTTTGACAATTAAATAGAACAATATTTATGTCATTTTATAATCAGTTATTTCTATTTAGTGGCATTTCAATTGCTATGGTTTATTTAATGCTGAAATCTAAATATATTGTATGCAATTTTATGGCTTTATTTAGAGATTTTCTATATAATTTAATATTTTCAGAGCAAAATTATTTTTTATAGACATATAGTTTGTAGACAATCTATTGTAGGTATTATGCGTTTTCATATAAACCTATTTCTATAAGGTAGGACATTATGTTGATAGTTTCAGTATTTTCAAATAGTTTTTTCCTGTTGTTTTGTAGCATTTATGTCTTACAGGGGCTGAGTTAGTATATTCAGTTAAAATGTGTTTTGCCATGAACTGAAGTTCATGAGGCTATGCAAAAAAGAAAAGATAGTGTTTAACCCATGACCTAAAGAGGTCAAGATTGAAGTGATCAGGAAAACATCCTGCCAGGCATCTGTTCCACAAAGCTCTTGGAAGAAGCTATCAGAGTAAAACATTTCTTACTAATGGAATACAAAGGGGATTTGGATGATTCACATTTGTATATGTGGCATGGGGTGTCCCAGTTGTAAAGGTTGGTGGTGGGATTAACAAATGGAGCTTGTGAGAACATATGCAATGGAAATAACGATAGCTATGAGTTTACAAAGTTTCATCTATGGGAAAGGAGTTGTAAGAGGTGAAAATAATTCATCACCCAAGTCTACATACATGCTTTTGAACTCTTTTAAGATAGACAAAATATTTGTTTCCTGGGTCTTTCAGTTATTCTTATGTATATTTTTTTCTTTGTTATCTGCTGATTTTTTAATGGCTTGGTATATTACAATGTTCTGCAAGTAATTGCCATTTAAGGGGCATTTGTACTTTGCTCCTCAGGGTTTGGTTTGTGCTGGGGTGATTTGTTGGTTGTTTTTCTGTTGTGCTTTTTTTATTATTTGTGTCATGTTCTCTGTGCAACTGTAGCTGATTTTTACTGTGTTTTTGTTGAATATCTTGTGGAGAGTGTTTGATGCAGGGAAGTGTATGTGTATAGGTTTAATGAATATTTTTTCTACGTTTGTTTTTTACATTTTTTTAGTATGGTGGGTTTGAACCATATTTTTTTTTTCCTGTTGATGTTTTATTGTACTGTGTGGTGTGTATGTGAGTGTTGCCAAAATATCAACTATCTTTTAAGGCTGTTTCATAATCCCTCTTGGCATCATTGAAGATAGTTTCACAGGAAGAATTATTGGATAATCTGTGGTTAAGTGATTGTTGGAGCTGCTTGCTTATTGATGGTGGGTTGTTAGAATGTCTGTGTATATAAAGTGGTTTGTCATGAGGTTTTCTGTATGGTTGATATCTACCTTAGGTTAAAAGTGAC